GGTCCCCACGGCGCGTTATTCCCGCTACACGCGGTGGCCGCGCGTCATCACCGCCCCCGCCCTCTGCGCCCCCTCCCGGACCGCCGGGCCCCTACTGTGGGCCGAAGGGCCTCACAATGAACAAAGGACGGGTCTTAAGTTCGAGGCAAGGGCACAGGCGCTTCCTAAAATAATCGGAAGCTTTATTGAGGTGGGTACAGAGGGACCATCTAGAGGCCGCGCGCCCCCCTCCCCACACGCCGGCCCGGCTCCCACGCGTCCCACGTCGCGGCTTCCAAGATACACTTCACGTCAGTTCCTCTAACCTGGAAAACGAGGCGGCTTCTGGCCGCTGTTAGGTAACGCTGACCTCTTCTCCCTGTTTAAAGTACAATCTTTGCATAATTCAGGGCCAACTACCTAGAGGAATTATGCGTGAATAACGCTCTAAATCATCACCGCATGCGTCCTCTACAGAGAGTTGTAAAGGGCAGTCTTTAGTCATGTTTAAAAAATCATGTTTCTAGCGTGAATGAAGAAAAAATCATTGCAAAAATATGACTCCTTCCAGCAGATTTGGGCCTGGCTTGGTGAAAAAACCCCGGCACTTGGCCATTCCGGAAGTGGGAGACAGACCTCCATGAAAATTTGCAAAGCTGCATCAAAATCCATCCATTTTGAAATTGCTCTCGAATTCTTTTGAGTGAGAAAGGTGCCGATAAAAACACTTAACAAGGGGGAATGTCCCGTGATGAAAGGCTGGGAGGGCTCTATTGTTAAAACAGCTTTCAAGGGAGCTGAATCTGTGAGAAACCCATCGTGTGCTTTTGCATTAATCCCAAGAGGAGGGTGTTCCAAGTAAAACAGGAAGCTCCGTGTGATGGTCAAATGTGATGGTCAAATCGCCAATACTCAACCTGGTTCCCATGAACAGTGAATACATAAAGAGCTAAAGTGATGCAGGAACAACAGTCTTAGAGAAATCTCAGTTGTTACCAGGAAGAAGAATAAAATGTGACGTTAAACATACTTTTGCAGAGAAATTAGTCATAAAAAAACCTTTGCATTGGAAAGGCATACATATCAAATCTTTAACTGTATAAACGGAAACTCTAAAGGTCATTTACCAGTCTTTAGAACGTCTGCAAGCACGCACGTTTGACTGCGCGTGCGAATTCCACAGATCACAACACAAACAGAAGCTAATCTTTTTTTCTTAATGTAAAATTAAGCTCTGCACAGACTACAAGATTGAGGTTGAAAAATTCTACCTGTGCTGATGGATCAACAGAGTTTAATAACATGACAATCTCCATTTCTAGGCAATAAAAAACTTTTTAAATTGCTTGTTACTGAGGCAAAACACCACCCCTGTCTTTTACTACAGTAAAGTACTGAACACAAGAGGGACCGACTTTTCTTTTTTCCTTAATATGCAGCCTCCAATTTATGAACTCCCTCTTTGCTGACGTTGTCAAAATGCAGCCCTGGGTCACACTTCGAAATCCTCACACATGCACCTTATTTTCTTTGGCATGGTAAACTGCCTTCGTTTCTGTTTAAAGCAGCAGCTCCATGGAATTTGGGGGACAGAATTGGAGGGAAATTCAATATGTAGCTCCAGAAATTTTATTTAAACCAAAAGAAAGAAAAGACAGACAAGAAAAAGATCCAAGGGAAGAATGAAACGGCTGACGTGCCCTTGGCAGCTGCTCTGGGATCCCAGAGGGCCATTCCCTCCTTCCCTTATGCCTACCTTTGACAAGATAAACACAGAAACAAGAAAAATAACATGAGCAGACACGTATGCAGAATTTAGTCAATGTATATAGAACCTTGAATTAATGAAAAACCCGTTTAAATTCTAGAGCATCTTGCTCTTAGTCTAAAGTTTAAAAGCATGAAATTTAAGTTCTGTATACTTAAGTCATTTTGAAGAGTATCATAATTTAATACTCTGAATCACTGGTATTTGTGGGCAAGTATATGGACTGATCAGGACTAGGGTTTCCTATTTTTTGTTAAGATTCTACAGCATTAGATATAAAGTCAATATCCATGCATCTCAAGGAGCAATTTCCCTCCCGAGTTCTTAAGCTAATGATAATATATCCACATAAGGACGAAAAATCTTTCTGCTTTAAGCCTCTCTCAAAGGCCAATACATATCTTTCTGGCTACAGTTCTTGCAAGAAGGGGAGGGGGCGAGGGCTTGAGGAAAAGGTCCAAGTAGTTTGTAACAAACGTACATTAGAAAGATTGCCATAAATCATTCTTTAGTAGATTTCTTTATCACATTTTTTTAAAGTAAACAAATTGGGCTATATTTGCAGAAACTCAAAGTGGCGCATAAATTTAAATGACGTATTTGTTCTGTTCACTGATAGGAGGCTAATATTACATTAATATTTTTTCTTCCTGTCACGAGTTATTCACATATGTACAGTATTTCAGTTAAAAATAAAATATAATGCCATAAACTATATTTTATAGGAAAGCATAAGGGAAGCTGAACGTGCACATCTTTTAAAGACTGAAAAACTTCTGATAAACTATTTTGGGGGAGTGGGGGAGGCTTTCAATACTACAGCCTGTAATAGAGAAAACAGACTACTCGCAGGTAATCTGATGCTACGGAGGCCCCCACACCCGGTCAGTCACCTGGGTCTGCAACCTTTTCAGATTCCACCTGAGGCAGGTAAGACGAGGAAGCACGGTGGAGGCCGGGCCCCCAGGAACTAGCTCCCGTCCCAGGTGCAGTCCCAGTGACCGCAGGTGGGAAAGGGGTCATTTGAGTGCATGGTATCAAAGTTTGAGGACCCTGCCCTCGCTCAACAGGTAGGATTATGGGGCGGGGTATGTGCCAAGCAGGAAAGGACCAGGTTGTGAGTGACCACAGGGGTTAATTCTGTTTCTCCAGCGTGGTAGTGTCTATAAGATTCTGCCGCTTTGGTTCTTGGGTGGCAAAAAAGGAGACGTCCTGGTCCTGGTCTGACTGCAAAGCTAAGACAGTCTCTTCAACGACTTCAAGATGAGGGTGGCCGGCATTTCTAAAGTACGCTAGAGAGAGAGAACGAGAACATGAGTTCGAATCGTGGGCCATGAACTGTGTTCTAAAACATACCCTAGTTTTGGGGGTGTTTGAAACCACATCTCAAGACAATAAATCAGTTTTCAAAGAATCATCATATACATAAGTCCATTAAAATGATAACATTGCTTTAATTAAAGAGTTTTTCCTAAATTTTAAAGATGGACTCCCAAGAATAGGTAGGCATATTTAAAAAATTATAACTAAAAACTTTTAATATATTATCTTTCCTTCCTTCCAATACAAAAGAATTAGCAATGTGTGGAATCCAGGAATGGGAGAAGGTTGCTGGCAGGGTGGGTGGGGGATGGGAGGGAAATGGCAGGGCAGGTTGGAGGTGCTCTCCTATGTGTGTGGTACAGAAATGAACTATCCAAGGGTCCCCATCTTCCATTAATTCCTGTTCGGATTGAAAATAACTCACTAGGTTGGGCAGCATATTTTTTCTTACTGACCACATCATAGCATTAAAACCTAATTGTACTCAAGGCTTACATTTGCTACCTTCCATAATCTCTATATCACAACTCAAAATTGGCAAGTTTCCCTCACTTAAAGAAGATGATGTTATATTTTGCATCCAAGCATACGTTTATCCAATGTAAATACTGAACCACATTGATTTCCACATTTTATACATACCATAAAATATACATGAAAGTTAATATATTAATTTAGATAATAAATCTGAAGCATGCTATCACATCATTGCTACAATTTTCCACAGCGGACATCTAGCTGTTGCCCAGTGACGTTGAAAATGAACAAGTTCAGAAAAATGGTCCACACACCCTTTTCCAACAGCGTCTGCCTTAGAGCCTTGGCCAGCAAAACCCTGACGTTGGGCACAGGGTCCGACGCGAGGCTTAACAGGCTGGGGAGTAAGTGTTCCACAAACTGGTCCACGGGGACACACTCGGCACTCACCACCGCCTGTGATAAAGGAAGGCAACAGCCAAAGAACCGTTAAGTGTTGGTACCGATCAGCATGGTTCTAAAAACATATACTTCTGGGATTGCAAAGAAGTCATTTCTGTTGGTCTGATGGGGGGGGGTGTGTCTGAATTTAAAACGCTCAACCCCTGAATTTGGTTAGAAACACAGCGAACGTTTCACGATTCATCCCTAGGCCCTGGGTGACAAGCGATACAATATTTGGTGAAAACAGAGACTTCTGAGTTAGGCGGGTCTATGTTCAAAACCCGACGTATCACTTACTGGCCTCACCACCCTAAGCCTATTTCCTCATCTGTACAATGGAGAGGTGGTGGGGACGGCAGGTCATGTTTGCAGAGCCTAGCACAGTGCCTGCCAATAAAGGTTCAGAACCCTCACCTCTGTCACTCGCCAGGACTCGGCTCTGAGGGCAGGGCCATGCCTGTTGAGTGACAGGTAACCCCCAGATCCCTGTCCAGTGCCCAGCCCTCTGAGAACCACTGTGCCTGCAGTAACCACCAGCATCTGCTCGGTGCTGCTCTCCTTCCCGAGTCTTACAGGTACTGCCTCATGTAAGTCTCCCAGCCAGCCGTGGAAGTCAGAACCAGCCTAGCTTTACAGGTGAGAAATCTCGGGTCCAATGTGGTCTCATGACCCACAAGCAGCAACAGGGTGGAGACTGCCAGCCAGGCGCATGGATTCTAAACCCTACAGAACTTCCCATCACAGAGTAATTGCCTAGTGTTCTCCAGGTGCCAGGCACCGTGCAGGTAACTCAGAAGCATCAGCTCACTGAAGCCTCAGGACCCCACGGGAGGCAGGTAGGCACTGCTGGCCCCACATCCCAGGTCAAAAGGCAGTGCCCACAGGGTGCTTGGCCCGAGGCCACTCAGCCGCGTCAAGCCTGGTGCTGTGACTCTCAGTTGGCCCTCACGACCTGCAGGCGACACTCTCTCTCTAGAGCTGCATTTAAGTAATAACCGATAAGACCCCGAGGGGGAGCCTGGGCTGAGAGCCCATTCCTTTTCTTGGTGTTACTGTGGGTTTTCTATATCTTTAATAATTAATTAGCAAGAGCATAAAACATTCAACTATTCTTGAACAAAAGTGGTTGGTATCTTTTCCTTTCATTTCATCATGTGTTTTTTAAATCTGAGACAGGATGTAAAAATAAAAGCAAAACTATCTCATTTATCCTTTATCCACAAAAATGATTTGGAGCACAGACTTGTTGCAAATGCCTGTGGTGTCAGGCCTGTGGTGACTCTGGCACTTTTGCTACCACCCACTGCACTTGTCAAAGAGGGTGGCCAAAGCAGCCTGGTGATGCCCTTCTGGCCCAATAGGGGGCCCTGGGGAGTCCTTCAGTGGGGGCAGGGGGAGTTATGCAGGACAGAGAAGGGGCTTTGGGGCCTGGGGTCAGGCCTTACTGTACTATTGACAAAGCTGGGTGACGGGTTCATGAGACTAATCACACTATTCCCTCCACCATTGTATATGCTTGCAAATGTGCATGAGGAAAAGTTAAGACTTAAAATAGCACTTTAGCAGAAAAAAACAATTATGGCTTTACACTTACTGTGTGATCTTGAGCAAGTTACTTAACCTCTCTGGGCTTCAACTGCCTTGTCTAGAAAAACTGGTCTAAAACTATATGGGTGCACCATGCTCAATGCACAGTAGGTCTTCTCATCAAGGACTGGCCTGATACACACAGGTGTTCAAGAAATGGCGGCCATCTTCCCCAGCTGAGCACATGTTGTACCTCCATTTTCAAGATGCTGAGTACAGAGGATGACCTGAGGAGCTGGACAGGCTGACATGAGCTTCCCTTTAAAGAGATGAAAGCCTCTGTCCTCACCCCCCATTCTGTCCATGGCAGCCAGCTAAGGGGAGGGCCAGGGACGAACACGGCCCCGGGTGGATGTGACAGGAGCAGGGCTCTGGGCCTGGCACGCAGCAGGTACTCAGTCAACACAGGACCAATGCAGGGACAGGCTGGGTAATCCTGAGCAAGGCACTTCGCCTGATTGTGTTGGTCACCATCTCCCGTGGGATAAGGGGGTTTGGTCCACTGACCCCCAAGTTCCTGGCTAGTCCTCCAGGGCTGGATTCATCTGGGGCACCTGATACAACACATGGCACACGTGTGCCCAGGGAGACTCCCCGCAGGCCACGCTAACCTGACAGATGACAGCGAAAGCTTGCCTTCCGACCCACTTGGGACAGTGCCGGAACCGCACTACAAGCTCGTTGATGAACTTTAACCCCAGTGTGCTTTCACTGCTCGAATAGAGCTTCTGCAGGATCGCCACGACCTGTGAAGATATCACAAGAGCACATTTCAAATGCTGCCATCTATTTGAATTATGAAAACTGCTCTACATGGAAAGTAGACATTTTTATGCACCCTTCCACCTTTCAAATGAATTTAAAAGCACAGGAGAAAATCATTTTTGTCACGGTAATCATCAGAACACAGAGGAAAAAAGATGTTCAAATATATGGCAATACATATACGCGCACACACACAAAACCCTTCATTAAAATGAAATTTAACAAGGGACTGGCATTGGAAAAATACGTTATTAATCTTAAGACTCCAAATTTGAGAAAATGCCCCTTGCATAATAACTAAATGATTACCTTTCAGAACATGTCATTTTTATAAAATTTAATACCATCAGAGTACCTCAGTAAATCTATATTTTCAAATGAGATTGTTTTCTCCCCTCAGTATTTAGCTTGTATAAACCTACACAGAACAGGATCAGCTTTTCTATGCTACAGTTTTTGCTCACTATTTTCTATAAAACCATGCTGCAGAGTAAACCCAAACCGTGTTTAAAAGAAACACTAAGCCATTGGTTGAAGGGTTTCATCTATAAAATGATTTACCCACAATTTCCATCAACGAAGCATACAGCTTAACAAAAAAAGCTATCTTACCTATTGATAAAACTATCATACAGGTCCTAATTACAAACCAGAAAAGCTGGTTTTCCAGGTAAACTGATGAATGAAGCCCAGAAAAAATAAAGGAAGTTAAAAAGGGAAGAAACATAAATATTCCTGTTTCCAAAACCACAAGCAGAAGAGGCCCTGCTGCCTTACTAGTTTGAAGGAGACCCATCGAACTTCCGAGACTCGGTCTGCACACAATTTTAAGGCAATGTGCATCAAATAATCATAAACATCACTGGGACTGTACAGCTCCAAAATCAGTATCAGCTGTCTGAAATTAAAAAAAGAAAGCAATTGTTTTGGGGAGTGAAAAACACCTTGTTAATTTCTCTTTACTCTCATTTCATCTTGCAGAGAGGAACAGGCGGGCTGGGAGCAGCGTGGGGAAGGCCGAAGGAGGCTTGCAGTGGAGAAACGCCCAAAGCAGAGGGCTGAGGGAAATGGCCACGCAAAGAAAAGGGGGGGGGGATCTTAATTCTTCATCTCACACACAAATATATCAAGCAAAAAGGAAATAAATTAAACTTTGTAAAACAGAGGCTGAGAAATTTATGAATAGGGATTTAATATTTCAATTTGAGGTTATCAGTTGGAAAGCACATAAAACTTGAAACATCAGATAACATAAAAATAGCCAGAACGTTGAAGTTCCCAAAGATCAACGGATCAAGGGGACGCTCAAAGGAGATTTCCCTGCCTCTGCTGAGTTCCTGAAGCTGCCATTACATTTTCCGCGGTTGCTGGCCGGCTCAGGGCGCCGCGCCGCGCCGCGCACGAGCTTTTCAAATCCAGCCAGGTCCGCTTGGAGAGAAGCGGCAGCAGTGGCTCTTCACTCCAAGGGGAAACATTCATACGCTGGCTGGTTGGGAAAACCTACTACCGAAGCTTTCGCTGTTTTCTACACACGGGGATGGGGAGCAGGGCATGAAAATAAATGGCATTCTTTCCACACTGGCAACGAAAGGAAATGAAAAAGAGATGGGAAGGAAGTTAGAACCAGAAGCCAGGAGTGCCGGTGAATACTTTCATATCAAAAAGCAGTTTTCAGAAAAATGATACCAATATCATGGGCACGGAAGCACAGAATTCATATCAGTGGCTGTGGCTTCAATAACCACGGCAGAGATGGGAGATAGCCAGCGCCCGGAGATAACATGTCGGGCGATGCTAGCCGAGCGCGCGGGTCTCCGGCTCCGTCCCCGAACTGGTCCCTGTCCCGGTCCCCGTCCCCGGTCCCCAGGAAGCTGGTCAGCTCGTCCCAGGTCCCTTGACCCCGGCCCATCCTCGGGAGGCGGGTCGTCTCGTCCCCATCCCCAGTCCCGTTCTCATCCCAGGCCACGTCCCCATCTCCACCCCCGACCCCGGTCCCCGGCCCCATCCCCTGCCCTGGAGGCGGCTCAGCCGGGGCCCCAAGGCGGCCCTGGCTGAGTTCCCGCATGCTGCCGCTAGAGGGCGCAATGCCTTCATGGAAAACGTGGGCCTGTTTTTCTCTGTTCTCTTAGAATATATGCTGGGAACATGGCATAATGACTAAAACCTCAGTCTCTCAAATTAAGCATAATGATTAAAGATCACAGCAAAGAGAAAATCTTTTAGTTTGCCCCTGGCATCGGCCAAATCATATCCTGAATTGCTCCAAAGGCTTGATGGATTTCTACAGGGAAGACAATTACCTGAGAGATTTCTAGTTGAGGGTAAGAAAAATGAAAACTAAAGATACTGAAATAAATCTCGACAAGGAGAAAACTAAAACCCAAACAACCATCACCACAAACAAATCCACTCCAGGCTGCGGAAGGCACATTTATACACCTTGGGAAGGAGAATTATTTAAAGTCATGCTTTCGCTTTTAGAATCACTAAAACCTTTACCATCCCTCTTGCCAGCACAAATGGAATTAAATAACTCCTTCGCACACAAAACGATGTACAGATATGAGCCACCTTGGGGGACATTTTTATTTAATAATTGTCTCGTCTGGGTTAGACCTTTTCATGTCTCTCACTGTAGCATAATTCTCTTCAGAGACTGAAGTGCATAAACCACGCAGTGCCCTGCAGAGAGGGCTCCACTCAGAATGTTCAAGAAAGCTTTGGCAAAAAAAAAAAAACCTGCTCCGATTAATAGGAAAATATTGAAGAGTGGGTGATTCATCTTTTATTTGGTTCGAATAAATTGCTTTATAGAACAGCAGAACACTCTAATTCCAAAGTGACTCGGGCCCTGTCTTCATCGGAAAATAAATGTTTCCCCAGAGACTGAGGTATTTCTAACTTAGAGCGTTGGAGTTCAGTTTATCCCTTAATAAAAACATAATCTCCTTATCCAAAAGAACACTATTACTGCGAGTTTAGAAATCAATTATAAGGTAGGAAAATGAAGAATTATTCCATCTTAGTTGCCTTCTCAAAGCCCCAAACAGGTTTACTTACTCTGCTAGTTCATATCGAAACCTCCAATTCCTGCTGTTATCGGTCACTACAAATTCTTGAAGCTGATAAAGATATTCTCTCCTCTTGTCTTCATGAAGCAACTATTTTTTAAAAATGTATATATAAATAAAAATATATAATCCCTCCCAATGACCCCCAATGTACCGTTTGGTTACACTTCAGATTATATTTGTCACCAGCAAGAACTGCGCACCCTGCCGCCCCTCCGACCGCATCACCGTGACCAGGCTCACAGGTGCCTCCCTGACAGTGCCCAGCCTCCCCCAGGCCAGTGGCCACGCTCAGGTGTTTTTCAGAGCCCCCTAGCTCTTCCTCGTCACGATCTCCTGCCTCGAGAACCCCATGTGTGTTCAGAAGGTGACCCACGGCTGCTCCCGGGAGCCAGCAGCGCTCGCCTGTTCCTGCAACCATGACGGGGGACTAGGCTGGGGCCTCGTGCACCACGACCCCGCAAGGGCAGCTCGCAGTCGGGCGGCTGCCAGTGAGTCTTCTTTCTGGCTCATTCTTAAGCTCTTATTTCTAGTCATCATTCCTTTAGGAGGAAGGGAAGCAGCAGCTTCTTGCTGGAAAAGCCCTTCGTGCAGAAGTGAGATGAGGTTTCAGTCGGGCTCAGAGCCGGGCCAGCCTGCCCTACCTGCGGCCTGGGCTCCTCGCTCTGGGAGCACACTGGGCTGTGTGTCTAGCATCCCCCACAGAACGAGACTCCAAGGACCAGGAGGCCAGGAGGAACGGTATAAACACATCTACCCATCACGGAAAGGCTGCCCACTTTAAGATTTTGGATGGCATATTTCAACTGAAAAAAACCTAGACTTTTTTTTTCACTGGTACTTCATATATCTAGGGTTTAAAATCTGTTTTGAAGAGGGGAGGTTTCTTTTTTGTTTTTAATCCTCCTTCCTACCTTTAGGAAATCATACAGGTGTTTAAGAACTCCTATTCGTACTTCATCCAGGTCTTTTAAAAATCCATTGAAGATGGGCACCAGGTCAGCTGCCGTTAGCTGGTCCCCAAGAATCACAGCCAGCTCATGAATGGAGAAGGCTAGGGTCCGACGTACCTTCCACTGGGGGTGCACAGCAGACATACAAGCCACAAAAAGCAAGCACAGTTCCATGTGATCAAGAGCCTAAGTGGCATTTCTGGAGCAAAACTGATACTGCCAGGTACTGGCCACTTAAAGCTTTACTTCATCAGAGCCCAGCAGATATGCCAACTGCAGCCACGTAAACACAGGTCAGTGAGCCCCTGCTGGAGCTGCCCTTCTCTCCCTCATTAGATGGCCCCCCCCCCATTTTCACGAGTGCCTCTGAAAAGGGACTTTTACCTGCATGTCAGAAGCCAGTGTTTCATAAGTATCCTTCAGGCAGTGCCAATTTTGCCTGCCCAGGGTGAGCGCCACCCCCGGGAGGCTGTAAGCACAGTGCTTGGCTATGTCAGTATCGACGGTCTGGGCTCGAGCTGGGTCGGTCATCGACACGTACTCATCTAGCAGGGGCTGAGGTATTATATCCTGGGAAGTGAGACAGAAAGGAAGCCATCACGCTTGCTGGAGAGAAGGGGCAAACACATGGAAAACAAGAAGTTTGGAATTGGGAGGTGAAAACAGAGAAGCAGACATTTGAGAGGCACGAGAGGGCTTCCTAAGGCTTTGAATTGGCAGCAAGTATCCAACTAGGACTGAAGTTAAGGCAGCGCCCACACTCATCTCTTCTAAATTCGTCCAACATTTGATATCAGAGAGAACAGTCTAGACATCAGTGTTGGGTTAAGTCTGGAGCACAGGGCTCCTGAGGATGGAAACCATCTTCTCTTTTCTTCTAAGTGCCCCCAGCACCTAGGGCCCGAGCCCCTAACTTTTTCCAACTGATGGGATACTGCCCTCATGAGACCACCCACTTACCTTTATCCCTGGAGGGGCATCGGGACACAAAAACTAGAAGCATTTTAGAGAATTTACAGAGCACAAAAAGCTAATCCACAAGGCTCAACGAAGCCAAACGTGGTTCAACAAAAGGAGCCATGGAAAGCTTCTCAGGCCAACACACCAAAAAAGCAGCATGGCCTATATAAATAGACACTAGATATTAGTGTATAGATGTCAATTTTTCTCTTGTATTTGATTTGCTTTATTAAAATACTATTCTAGATTGTTCAGAAGATTTAAAACACTATTTTAGAATTCACTTTTTTTAAGTTAGAGAGGAAATATTAGCACAATAGATTGTAAACTAAGATATGTCATTAATATTGATGGAAGAAAAATATTTGCTTCCAGTGGCCATACATAAATTTGACTTCCAGAAAATGTAAAGTTTTCAGTTGATTTATTTTTAAGGAACAAACCTGTAATTTAGATTTATTCTCCTCGAGTGGGATAGGGTCCTGCCTCCTCTGGGTCTCTGGTCGGTCACTGGTTCCCTCGCAGGGTTCGCCTGGATTCTGCAGGGTGGATTGGCATGTTATGAACTTACTCCACAGGAGGAGGCTGTTCTACAGCTCCCCCCTCAGAGAAGCCTCTTTCAATGCCAGAAATGACTTCCACAAACCAAGACCAGAGCTTTCCCCTCAGCTCAATGGTAGGCACCTCTCTAGATGTTACAAAACACATTTGCACAGTTACATATGATATTGTGCTGGTCAGTCAGTTTAAATGGATTTCATGCATTTAAATTTCAAGACTGCTTGAGGCCCTTACAGAAGACAGACTCACGCTGGTGAGTACTAACAGCCTGAGCCTGCATTTACTGTTCTTCAAGTCCCAGGGTCCCCAGTGCGGTTAAGCAAGGCCCCTCAGTAACGGTCACATGTTTACGGCATGGACGGCTCCAGAAGGCAGGGTAAGGTCTGCAAGAAATGGTGAAGCAAGTATGCCCAGCATTTCCCAGCAACTGGAGATGGGAGCAACGCTGGGCTGGACAGAGGATGCAGAGGCGGGGGAAGAGCCACTGCATTGGAGCGAAAAGATGTGGCTGATAGAGGGTTATTTACTCAGAAAACTGTTCTCGATGTTCACATGTGCAAACACTTCTAATGTTTGCTGATGAACCTTTACATTAGGTTAACAATTAAAATGAGCACGAACATTCAACAGTGACATATTGGTCTCTGATCATTGATTAACATTAACTAAGATGGACCTGACCTTCTCCTCCAACCATAACATGGATTTCCTACTTGTACTTGAAATGTCATACTGTCTACCAGCTTAATGGATTCTGACAAATCAGCTCAATATACGATCCAGGAAAGTCGATTAATACACCGATAGATGCTTCGTTGGCTCTGAGGCACGCTACCAGCACCTCCAATTCCCAAGGTTTCCACTGAAATGTACCGCTTGCTTTAATAGGGGGCATGCTAAAACAGGGGCATTATGGTGTGATAGCCTAAGACCTCCATTTCTCCAAGTTAATAAACTCACATGTATTAATAAATGATAAATCATTACTCTTCTTTCAGGGATTCATTTTATTCCAGGGTCTTCATTGCAATTATTAGGTATAGCACTTAGTCCCGGAACCAAGCTAAGGTTTCAGTAAACCACCCCACATCGAGGCAACCCCCAAAGGTACTGTGAGGTCATTTCCCCAAGAAACCATCTCGCTGTCAAGAGACAAGTGAAAAAAACGAGGCCCCCTCCTCCCACTGGGCATTTCGGAACTAAGCTGGCGAGCTAAGAGGGCAGAGTGGACACATGGAATGGGGTCAACGCCAAGGGGAGGTGACCAGCCCCCAGCTTCAACTCCTCTAGTGTCATCTGTGCGAGAGAACATTTTCCTCACTGTTTAATCTTCCCGAGATTTTCATTTGCTTTTCCTTCTTTTGCAACCGGAAGCATCCCAGCCGATCCCACTGGGGCCTAAGAGCCAAGGTGCAAATTCAGGAGCCCTGACGTCCCCCACCACAAACCAAGGCCTGATCATACAGGCCCTTCAAAACCCTCTGCTCAATGGGCCAACCTGGGGAAAGCTGTCCTTCTTTTGTTCACTTCTGTGTATGACAGAGAAGCCTGGATACTCTCACATCTCCCACCAAGGTAAACATGGCCGCACCTTTCTAGTTAACACGTGGGATTTTAACAAGGGTAACAACATGACTTTTCTAGCCTATTTTTCAAAACAAACCAGCAAAATAGGGTGTCACCTCATTTCTTACTAATCAAAGGTAACCTTAACAAACTCTTAAGCTTCTTTTATATTCAGGCTTTTTCAATTTGTCATTTGTTTTGCTTTACTGGAGCAGACCTAGGGGATAAGGGAGGTGAGTTAGTTGAATCACTAAAATCAAATTATAAACTATGTGAATGGAGAAACAACTGGTATTCTGGCCCCAGAGGACCATGTTGAAGAGATTATCTGTCATATACAGGAAACTAAGAAGGTGCCAACACACCTAGACTCTGATCACAGGGCCCTCCCTGACTTTAGTTCTCTAGTCTCGCCGCGACCTGTGAAGGGCCCCAGCTGGAGGGTCCAAGTGGAAGTGTAGCAGGAACCAGGAAGACATCGGGCATCCAACCACAAGCAAGCCGGAGCGCTTCTGGGGAGACTCGAAGTCAGAGACAAGCCACGGGCTCCTCCGTGCCCAGGATGTGGGATCCCAGCTCTCATGGGGCTGGTTCCAGGCTGCAGGGAGAAGTGGGGCGCGGTCGGCTGTCCCCAACCTCTCCCCAGAAACAGTGCCTGCACCACACAGGGGCACCGTGAGCTAACATGGCGCCTGTAAGACGGGGGCTGGAGGCCACGGTCAGTCTCGAAAGCCTCGGTCAACTTTAAACTCTAGAAGCTGTGTGAGCTCACCTTCCACTGTGACTCAGAGATGTAAACGTCAGTTAGCATTTATCTGGTTAACCGCCCAAAGAAGCAGGTCTCTCATCTCTGGAGAAGAGGGACGGTAGCTTTTGGTCTCCCACCCTTGATTTTGTGGAGGACAGTCAGGGTTATCAATCACCTGATTGATTGGTTGTCTAGTTATCCAAAACATGACCTTAAGAATGAAATTAAATTTGCCATTCTTCATCTCTGCCAGGCTATATTAATAAGAGGGAATGCAGCTTTGTGGTTTCTGTCACATCCTCGTGGCTGTGGGGAGGGCGGACACTTACTGTGCTTTGAGGTACCCCGGCCACGGAGAGCTCACTGGGTGGCGACGCGGCTGACAGAGCTGGCTGGCTGTCACAGGCAGGGCTGCGGGCTGACATGGGCGCCTCGCTCACACCCTCTGTCGGCTTGTGCTCAGGCTCATTCACAGAGTCAAGCTGCACGGCCCTCAGGGCAGCAGATAAGACCTGGACTTGAGCTGCAGGGAGAGAAGTTTCGGGAATTTTCATCACTTTGTTTGGTGTGTAGGGATTTGCTTCAGAGGAGCCCTCACAACAAGAAGCCTGCACATGGGGGCTCTGCGGAAGCTCTCGCCTTGCCCGCACCTGTGCCTACAGCTGCCGTGCTCGGGGCTTCCAGAACGCACTCTCAGGGACGCTTGGGGCCATTAACCTTAACCGCTCCGACTCAGCACCAGCCACACACAGTGCGTCAGATCTGAGTGCAAAACACCTCACTTGGGGAAATCAGAGTTCGACGCCATCATTTTTCCCAGTGAGACAACACAGTGTTACTGAACGCCGATGTCCAGGAGCGCCACCAACTCAGTGACAGGGGCCCGGCTCCCTCATTTATAAAGCGGGGTGGCTGCCATCTCCACCACACACGCACACACACACACACACACACACACACGCACACGCGCGCGCGCACACACACGCACATGCATGCATATGCACGCACATACACACACAAATCAATCCAGCTACATACACACAAGTAAATGGCTCGCTCAACACTCCCCCCAGGCCACTCACACTTTCTGTCCACAGCACAGCTGTCTGAGACCCTCCAAACAGTAAAGCTAACATACCTCACATACCTTTCTACAAAAACAGACATGTTTCCATGTCTCCAACCTCCACACACACACACACACGCACACACACATGCACGCACACTACTGCTTGCATTCTATCTTCTATTGGTTGAATTCAAGACCCCAAAGATTCATTAAAATGCGTGGAGCTTGGAGCCGGCTCCCCCCTGAGCCAGGGTAAGGTCCTCAGTGCAGGCCCCAGGCCCTTCCCAACAGCCTAAGCAACAATTCCAGCTCACAGATACCTAAGGCATCATTTATTTCTGAATCTGTTGGAGTCACAGATCCCCGAGTGCTGAAGAAAGCCGTGGGTGCTTTCTTATAAAGAAATGAAGTACGCAGATACAGGCAAGAGTTCACACACTGAAAGAACCTCTGAGACCCGTCCCTCCGCTTCTCTGAACGGTGGGTGCCTAGCCATCCTTTAAAGCTCACATCAAATGTCACCTGCTCGCCAAGGTCTCCTCCCAGACATTTCCTCTGTCCCCAGGCACGACCGGCGTCCTTCCCTGGGCTTCCACAGCTCGCCATGCCCACTCCTGCCCCAGCCCCGTCACACCCCATGCTGGTGGCTGTTTACACCATCCCCTCCCCCAGACCACAGCGCCTCGCGTGCAGCCCCAGCATCCAGCCTGGGTCCCACCGTGGAGACGGATGCAGCTGCCGAAATACGTTTTCCAAAAGCAGACCTCTGTCTAGAGCTGTTAGAAGCAATATGTAACCTCATTCCTTCAGCGAACATTGACTTAATTTCCTTTATACATTTAAAGACAAGGAAGAATCACAGGGCTAACTGGATTTTCACATTTCCTTTCCCGAAAGCTTCACAAATCTTTACCCGGCAACAGAAGCAAGTGTTGTTTTTTTCCAATTTCCCCAACTCAAGGAAGAACTACAAATAGAGCATTGTTTAGAGAAAGAAGAGGCGTGATAATGGGTATGGATTGCAGGGCCTGGCTTCCAGATCAGACGCTCAGTGGGCGCACTAGTCATAAAATGAAAAATACCCCAAAGAAGAAGATGTACTTTGCCTGGCTGCGGAAAGACCAAAACCTTCAGGTTCATTCAGCTAAGGGTCTAGTTAACAGGCTCCAAAAGGAGCAGCGTCCTCAGCAGCTCATGACTAGAAAGGCGTTACAACATGGTGGAGGGTTTCAAACAGTGTCCGAGGAGCTAATGCAATTTCCACTGGGACAAAGCCCAAGAGCTGTCTGTTTTTGTATCAGAACCAACTTCACACCTGCTCGGCTGCAAAACAAGGGGCAAAACCCTTGCAGGTACCTGCACAGAGACACCCTGAGGGTCTGGCCTCAGCACGTGCACGAGGCAAACAAAGGGAAGCATGTGCATGTACGCAGCACTGCCGGGCCGACAGACACCACCCAGGAGCACCTGTCTGCTCTGCAGTGACCATGACGGTGCTTACCTCGAACATCCGGGTCGCTCATCAGATGCTCCTGCAAACTGTCGAGGACTTTTTGAATCTCGCTGCGGGCCACACAGCTGTTGTGCATGGTCTCAGGTCGGCCGCAGGCTTCCTCCTGTAGCCCGGCCTCACTCAGAAGCAGCTCTAAGTCCTTGCTGATGTCAGGGAGAGGAGTTCGCCAATAAAGGAAGTTACTGAATCTGTCCTCAGGACTCCCTGCGCAGGCCCGGGATCCGGGTCCAGGGTGGCTGTTGATGGGGAGGTTGTTAATATCCCCGGCCTCTGGGGAAAGCCCGGCCAACTCAGTCCCGGCCGACGCAGGGGCTTCCATTGAGTTTTCCGTTGGGCCATGACAGGAGCTCCTGACACACGGGAAACTGCTGGCGTCCCCGGGCAGAGCCGGCTCTATCTGCACCGGCTTTGGTGAGCTAGGAGGGAGGCAAACTTTTAGTACCGTATAATAGACTGGAAGTACAATGGGAAAACAGCTCATCCTCAAAAGCCCACTCCTCCTCCCTACCTGGCCACCTGGCCCGTGTGTCTCCAGTGCCAGAGGTAATAACCTCACGAGAGTAGAGGAGGTCCAATCGGCCCCTCTGCGCCCCCAGGAGTACGATATGCCTTGAAAATGCCACACGCAACGTGAGCCAATCCCTCCTTTATACTCAGGTGGTGAATGAGCCCGGGCTCCTGCAGCAACATTACCTGCACTGACGGCCCGTTAGTGCCTCCACCTGGGCAGGCACCAGAAACTAAAAGGGGCCGGAGCTGGTAAGTGCGGGCTGGTGGCTACCCAGCTGGAAAGTCTTGATGAGGAAGATGCTGCACACGGGCCTGACATCGAGCAGGGACTCAATGAGTCCTGGTGGAGAAGGATGCAGAGAAGGACGTACCAACCTGGAAAGGACTGGTACCGGGTGGGATGGGAATCACCGCCTCTCAAGCTCCCGTAGAATATCAACAATGGAGAGAGGCTTGTGAACTACCTCCATTGGCCTGGTTAGTGCATACCCATCATCCTCAGAGAAAAGAGATTAAAAAACCCAAGACCGATCTCTAGAACTTACTAGAAAAGCAGTGTAGGCTCTACTAATGGTGGGTCAGGAATGTCACCGTTATGTGCATGTAATATCCTATGGCACAAAAGTATATTTGGGAGACTTCACATTTTCCCTATGTAAATTATCCAAAGAACTTCATTAATCAAAAAGTAAGAGAAAATTTTCTTTATCGGTTATTTAATCACTACTCTCAATGAATATTTTATCTAAATTTAGGAGACACAGTAGCTTCATTATTTATAACCCAGTAGTCATGTTTCAAAATCATTATTGCAATTACTTTTTGCTTCTTTACATAATTAAAGCTCTAATATTCCATCTTGCCCAGAAGGTCACTGTTACTAAAACTCCAGACAAGATAATTGCTAGCATTTCAGGTGGACCTCGAGGTGAAGCGGGGATGCTGGTAATTATGCAGGTTGGAGCTTACCGGGCTGAGGGAGTGTCACCACAGCTGCCGGCACCGGGTGACCCGCAGGTGGAATCAGACTTGGCGCCCTGAGCCAGAGGCCGGATGCTCAAGGTGCCGTCTTCTCGAATGTAGAGGCCAGCCCGGGAGGGGTTTGCAAAGGTGGAAATGAAAGGTCCCAAGGACTGGAAGGCAGCCTGGCGCACCTGAAACCAGAGAGAACAGCCCGTGAGCTCGGCGTCCGCCAGGCTTGACCCCGGGCTCAGCGGTTGGCAGCTCCCCGCGCCCTTCACTGTCCGTCAAATTATGTCTAAGCAGGTTGACTACTCTCTAAGGCATTCCCTAAATTCCAAAGAAACTATTTTTCAACAGGAAATAAGGAAAAATTGAGCGCCATCATGTAGTTTTCAGTCCTCCAGAGTATTAACTCCACATCAAACAATTCCAGACTTTCGAAAGCATCTGAATACCTCACTGATCATTACTGGCATGTTTATGATCGTAACAGAAAAGGCAACAATCCAGTTTGATGTTCTCCTACCCAACTCTCATTTCTATGCTATTCACTCACTACAAATGTTAAGGTGCGTGCCACTGTCTTACTATGCGCCATACTTACTATGCGCTGAGACCCTGATCCTCACAAGGTCTGAACATGCCGGTCAGTGACGGAAGAGACAAAACAGAGTCCCAAGTCCAGGAGCTGATGTGGGGCTGTGACTCGCGGGGGCTGGGCTGCCTGCACTTACCCACCGACAGGGGTCGCTGACCAGTCTGATGAAGAGCGGGGAGAGCTTGCTTCTGCGGACCTCAGGGGACGTGTTGTAGGACACCGCCATGAAGCACTCTGCACAGGCTTTCCGCATCCCCCAGACGTTATCCGAGCAAAGCTCAAAAAACTTTGGGATCTACCAAAGCAAATAAAATCGTGCTATTCACATCTGCTTACCCTGAGGAAGGGCAGAGCCTGTTTAATGATGTAGTTAAGGCAAACCCATAAATGACTAGTCTAAAAGGAATCATTTGAAACAAATAGAAATTATGACAAGTGGAATAATGCAACATTTCCTTTACCTTAATTCTACTAAATGACTTGGTTAAATTGAACAAGATAATAGAGGAAAAAACCCAAAAGGCAGAATGACTGGGACTCGTTACTGTGATTATAGAGAAATACTGTGAATGACTTTAAAATTTAGTGGGTATCCCAGTGAGCTCACCCATCCAGGTCTCATGGTCTCTGACTAGGGCATTTTAGTGCCAGAAGGTAAATTGCTCAAAACTGACAATAATGCAAATGATTCCTGTCCACAGAAATGCAAACATTATCATCCTGGACACCACCAGCTTTGAACCCATTTGTAAGCTTCCTTTGGGATTCCTTGGTCTAACATAAATGGGATACTCAGATCTCTCCGTTAAGTTGATTCTTATCATATCTTACTGGTTCCCTCATTAATAAGTTACATAAAATTGTTCCCACATCTTCATTTTATATCTGTATAAAGCACATGGTTAGATCCGCTTTTAAAATGTATCCTTTAAAAATAAGGCTTTGTTTTTAATGTCCTAATGTAAAACTATCAGCCCAAATGCCCACAAGTGGGAGTATGTGACCATGGGACTATCCAGCTACAGAAAGATTAGTACGCTGGTCACTGCTGGTCTTCATTCACATACGTTAAGTGGAAGAAAACACTGACTGTATATTCAAAGCGACAGCCCACTAAAAATTATTTGGGGTTAGAACTATGTTGACATGGCTTATATTGAAATAAAATAAAATGCGCTTCTGAACTTAAATTTCAAAATCAAATTAATTGTATTTCCTGAGGTTGAGCTCCAACCACTTAGGTAGTACATCCTGTCAAATGCAATTGGCAGGCGTGGACTGAGCGTCACTCTCTAGGCGCCAGGCAGGTAAGGTGAACATGATGGCATGAAGAACCCACATCAGCCAGATGAGAGTGAGGTGTGGTGAGGGACATCCAAGTACTCTGGACAGCTGTCGTGGGCATGGGGAAATGGAGAACGGGGTCCGCACTGGCACAGTGGGTCGGTGAGTCTAGACAAGCTGGGTCTGACGTGTGAGCAGGGTCCGCACTGGAGGGAGGGGCCGTCGTGAGCAGAGCGTGAAGGTGTGCCGGAGCAGAGCGCCTCAAGGGAGCCAAGAGTCACCTGCTGGCGAGGAGGTGGTGCTCTCCCCTGCTGGGCCTCAGAATCGCGAGGGAATTTACCAAAATTGCAGACTCCTAGGCCCTGCCCTCGCAATCATTCAGATATATGGCCAAAGGGTAGACCCTCTCAGGCCAGCGCAGTGAGCGCTGAGGCCCAAGGGAGGTGGCTGGAGGTGTGGCAGGGAGGTTGCTTCTGAAGGGACTTTAAAGACCCAATAAGGGTCTGGTTGTTAGCCTGGAAACCAAGAAACAATCCCACCAGCTTTGAAGGCCAGGCATGTGGTGGTAGAGCCGGGTTCTAGAAAGAGCAGTCGAGAAGGGTTGGAGAGAGTGGCTTACACAGAAGAGGCTGGGACAAAGTGACCGGTGGGGAAGCGACAGCAGAAGTCCACAGGAGGAGGACTCGGGTCGCTTCCGCTTCATTCCACTGTCCCGCTGCCTCATGCTCATGAAAAACGTGAGCTTCAGAAGGCAAGAAATTTGATGCTAATGAACGCAAAATTGAGCTGCCATTCCAAAGCAACAGACTCATGAACACAAAACTTGACAACTGATTTTAAAAGCGTCCTCACGAGAGCACCAGCGATGACGAGCGGCAAACTTCACCTACCAAAAATTTCTCAGTGGCTTCCTGTCCAACGGCGTGGCAAACATCACCAAAATTTGTAGCACAGACCTTAAAAAGGCAAAAGGCATATCCATTATTCTCAGCACTCTTTTTGTCTTCGCAAATTGTGAAAACGAACAAGCAGGAGCCTTGAGAGCAATTATTCCTCTAGCCAGGCAGCTAACAAGCACTTCCCAAGCCCATCGCCCACACAGCACCACCCAGGTGCCTCTGACACACGGCAAACAGGAGATTTACAAGAGTCTACAGTTCTAGGACTTTCTGGCTCCTAATTGATCTCAGCACATAATGCATTTGGTTAGTGATAGAGCGAAAGAGACCCTTAATGTTCTCTGTGTGGTAAATGAGGCCTCTCTTTTTGCTGACGCACCACGAGGGGAGGCCAGAGGTTAGAGGGCTCCTTCCGCAGCAGGTGGGAGATGAGGCTGTTCGGGGGGGGGGGCAGCACCGGCCTTCAAAGGGAAGCATCTGACAACCAAGTGCCAAGCGACTAAAAGGGCGGGGGCGGGTTGGAGTTCGGAGGTACAGAAAAGATACGTGGCTTCTGGAGCAAATCACCCCACATCACGAAAGACCTTGCAGGTCTGGCCAATGGCACCTAACCACAGCCAGCAAGGTCCCCTCACCCGTCCCCCTGTGCCCGAGAGCCACAGGTTTCCTCCCACACAATCTTGTCTCCAGGTCGCTCTGCGTTTTCCCTAATTGCAGTGAAAACTGACAACATTGTTCAGATGTTTTCCTGACACAGGTCACACTGGCCACATTTACTTTCCAGACTGTGTCTACTGAGGAAGTCAGAAACTTTACAGGAATCCATTTTGAATGTTTTGAGTTTTGAAACTCTGTGTTCCCACCTTCCGAACTAGAAAGAGCTTCCCGTCACCACACAATTCACAGAATCGAGGGAGCAGCAGGCGTTCCACTGTGCTCTTGCTTAGCACGGATGCCAGTTTGCAGATGATCTGCAAATAAGAAGAAAATCAGGGTCACTGGAAATCCCAGAGCATGTGTCTCACATCTGACTAACTTGATTCCAAAAGCGACTACTCAAAATATTGCCAAGATACCCAAGAAGCAAAAACAGAGAACATTTTCTTTTGAGCTTTGTGAAGTTATATGATCATTACAAGGCCAAATATTTCTCAAGTTTCACTCAGGTAGGGGTTTGTCTGAAGCTCAAGGGTTACCTGTGCCAGGTACCCGCCGTGTGCCCAATACACAAATGAACAATTTATGTGCATTAACTCATTTTGCCTTCCCAAAACCCTATAACACACATAGTATTTATCCTCATTTTTCCAGATGAGGAAACTGTCACTCAAAGAGCTTAAGTAATATGGCCCAAACCAAATAGTGGTGAGGTAGGACGTACAGTAACAGCTGGACAAAGTAGAAAAACTGACCGCAGGCACTGGAGAGTGGTCAAATGCTGGTGGAAACTAAAGGAGAGCAGACCCTTGAGAGAAGAGAACGACAATGGGTCGCTATTTCTTTTCTGCCTAGAGGCACCCTCCATTCTGCATGGCTATGCAGGGTAGCTGGACATCAAGCAAGTTACATGCAGTATTACTGGTTTAAGAGACTAAGGTTGCCAGGGCAGCTGGCAAGCGAGAGTGGAGATCTTGGGAAGAAAGGAATGAGGGAGCTAAAAAAGGGACAGCCCCCAAGTCTGTGATTAAATCCTGCTCTAATCCTTGGCTGATCTCGGAACGGTGCATGTACAGAGGAGATGATGAGGTTCGTACAGAAATGTAGCAGCTTGAAGGTAAAAGGAGCTGAGTGGTTTCAGCTGCTGACTACTGCCGGGGAAAACAGAATCTGCCAGAACAAAATCAACATTCTTCAGCTGAAAATAACAGAATCCAGAGTTTCTACAATGTTTCATCAAGAAGATATAATAGACAACAAAAAAATCACAGACATGAGAAGAAATGGCAAAATGTGACCTACATTCAAGATAAGTATCAGTAGAAACAAATCCAAGGAAGACACAGGTGTTAAAATTAGCAGACTTCAAAAGGGCTTTAAAACAGCTACTGTAAATATGCACAAAAGCTAAAGGAAAGTACAGCCATAATGAATGAGCGGATAGGAAATCTCATCAAAGAAATGGAAACAATAAAAAGGAATCAAGACTTCTGGTAATAACAGGGTAACTTGGTCAGACTTACCCCTCCTGCACATAACAATTACTGAATCATGAGAAAATATAATAAACAACCATTGGAGAGCAAACAAAAGGCAGAAAATGGAGGGGAGGCTATCCTTAAAAAATGAAATGCAATGGGATAGATTTGCAAGTAAGGTCCAAAATCTGTGTACACAATTTGCTGAGATAAAGAGAAAAATCTGAGCAGCCAGAGAAATAAAGGATGCTTCATATATAGGAATATAAATAGTATGAATGACAGCTGACTTCTCCAGAAGAGAACAGGATAATATCTTTAAAGTGCTGTAAGAAAAAACAAAAGCAAACCGTCAACCCACATTTCTATATCCAGTAAAACTACTGTTCAAGAATAAAGGAAAACAAAGACATTTCCAGATAAAAATGGAGAGATCTCATTATCAGCCAACCAAACTGAAAAAAAGTACTGGGGGAAGTTCTTCAGGTTGAAGGGAAATGGTATCAGATGGAAACTTAGATCCAGAAAAGGAAGAAAGTGCAACAAAAACTGGTAAAAAATGTGGGTAAAAAGGTTATATTGGGCCGGCCGAGTGGCTCAGTTGGTTAAGAGTTGGCTTAAGAGTGCAAGCTCTGAGCAACAGGTCTGCCGGTTCAATTCTCACATGGGCCAGTGACGCTGTGCCCAAGCTGAGCTGTTGCTGAGCTGCCAACAGGTGGCAGGATGGCTCAGCTGGTGTAACAACAAGATTGCCTGTTTGATGGTGGGCTACGCCCACCCTCAACTAAGACTGAACTTGGCACCTTGAGCTGAGCTGCCACCCAGATGGCTCAGTGGATAGAGCAAGCGCTCTTAACAACAAGGCTGCTGGTTTGACTCCCGCATGGGATGGTGGCTATGCCCACCTGCAACTAAGATTGAACACAGCATCTTGAGCTTAGAGGCCACGAGCTGCCAACAGGAAGCCAGATGGCGACTGGCGCCCTCCACAACGAAGACTGAAGAACAACTTGGCTGGTCCCCTTCCCCAATTCCCCAACACTGTTCCCCTCCCCCAATTCCCCAATTAAAAAAATAAAATTAAATTAAATTAAAAGGTTATATTTTTTCTCTTTTTGCAATTTCTTCAAATGACACAATTGTTTAAATAAAAAATTATAATACCATATTATCAGGTTCATAATGTAATGTATGTGTCATAATATATGTATGAAAACAGCAAAAGGAAGAGAGGGGTTGAGTGGAACTACATTATTACAAGGTGCTATATTTTTTGAAAATCCTCAGTAGAGGAATTAAAATGCAGTACTACAAAAATACTCAATTAGCCCAAAAGAAGGCAGAAAAGAATTAACAGAGGAACGAAAACAGATGAGATAAATGGAAAACAAATAACAAGTTGCAGAATTAAATCCAAATATAATCAATAATTACATTAAACATAAATGGACTAAACACTCCAATGAAAAGGCTTTAGAAACTGTCAGATTGGATATAAAAGCAAGACCCAACTATACGCTAACAAAAGCAGGAATACTTTAAATGTAAAACATGTAAGGTTGAGAATAAACCAATATAAACAAATATACTATGACAAATGGTTAAGTGTAAGAATGCTGGAGCAATGATGGTAATATCACAGCAGACTACAAGGTACATATTACTATGAGAGAGTTTTAAAAAGTCATTTCTTAAAAAAGGGGTCAATACATCACAAAGATTTAAACATTAAATGTGTAGCTTTAAATGCTTAAAATGGAAAAGAAGGTAGCCTTAAAAAATACTGTTTTCTCCTTAAGAAGCTACAAAAATACAAGCAAATTGAACTCAAGTAATTAGAAGGAAGGAAATAATAAACAGTAGAAATCAACTGAAAAGAAAACAAGCAATAAAAAAATTGACAAAGCGAAAAACTGATTCTTTGAAAATATTAATAAAATTGATCAATCCCTAGCAAGACTGATCAAGAAAAAAAAAATTAAGAGAAAAAACACAAATTACCAATATCATAAATGAAAGGAATAACACTACAGACCTTATAGGTATTAAAGGGATAAGGGAATATTGTGAACAACTTTATCCCAATAAATTTAACAACATAGATGAAATTAATAAATGCCCTAAAATGCACACTTATCCAATACACAGATGAAATAACAAATCTCAATAGTCCCATATGTGAATCGAATTTGTTATCAAAAACCATCTCACAAAGAAAACCCTAGGACCAGAGATTTTACTGGTGAATTCTAACAAATATTTAAGGGAAAATAACATCAATTTTGAACAAAATCTTTCAGAAAATAGAAGAACAAGGAATAGGAATACTTTCCAACTCAATTTTTGAGGCCACAATAACCCTGATTCTAAAGCCTGACAAAAACATAATAGGAAAAGAAAATTGCCTACAATAGTCCTCGTGAATATAGATGTGAAAATCCTCAACAAAACGGTAGCAAATAACAGAGAAGGGAATACTCTTCAGAACAGAATGTCAACTAGAGCCATCAATGGATGCTAATACTAGTGGGTGCCAGTGTGATGAAAAGCATGCTTACACAGTTTGAAAGTAACGCCCCTTATTACTTCCAGGGTAGAAAGCAGTACATTGGGAAAACTTGTCAGAAGCCACCTCTATCCACAAAGTCACCAGAGTTAACATCACCAATAGCAGGGCACACTGAAGTCTTGGGCCTCCTGACGTGACACATGAGAACACAGTGTCACTTCCATGACATCCTGCCAGAAATGCAGGGCCTGAGTCTAATCAGGAGGAAACATCAGACAAACCCAGACGGTGAGACATTCTACCAGAGAGCTGGTCTGCACCCCTCCCACATGTTAACATTACAAAATTCAAAGACAGACTCAGCATCTGTTCCAGATTAAAGAAGACCAAAGAAATGTGACAACTCAGTGCCACGTGTGATCCTAGACTGGGTCCTGGACAAATGACATTTGAATATGAACTGTGGATGTGGTAGTAGCATTGTATCAGTGTTAAATTTCCTGATTTTGATCAATGTGCTATGGTTGTTTAAGAAACTTCCTTGTTTTTAGGAAAAATGCACTGAAGTATTTAGGAGTAAAGGGCACAATGTCTCCAATTTACTCTCAAATGGCTCCGAAAAATATATATACATATGTGTCTGTATATATCCACGTGTGTGTGCACATGCGCACATGTGTGAAGAGAGAGACTATGAGAAAACAAATGGCACTAACTATAAACTAAGGAGCAAGGGTATACAGGAGTTCAATCCCATAAGTTTTGTACAAGTTTGAAATTAAAACAAAATGAAAAATTACTGCCCCCAAATGTTGAAGAACTCTCCCACTCCCCCAAGAAAAAGGAAAAGAAAGGGAAGAAGGCAGGAGGGAAGGGAGAAAGGGAGGGGGGACTTCCTGTCTCTTGACGACAATGCCCTTTGACAACAGAAAAAGGTACTGGGTTAGCAGCCCCTCCCCCCCCTCGCCTCTCATCCGCTTTGGAGTCTGCACACAGCAGACAAGTGGGGAGAGAAAACCATCTGGGTGGGGGGATGGGGGACTGTCCCCACAACACAAGTGAGGAAAGGGTTTGTATCATCCAAGCTCAGAGGACACTTAACTTCTGATCTGATGCTTGGCGGAGCTGCACAGAGTGACAGCCACGATACATGACGCCGGGCTCCTGTGTCCAGCTTGTCCACTCACCCCTTGCCGTCTGCACACCCACATGACCTTACTGCCACGGGTATAAAACAAATCCAGAACCATTAAAAGTCCGCACACCAAGTGACAAGAACTGATATTCTTGTGGCCTGGGAACCACTTGTATGGAATGACAATCTTCGCTAAGTTGCTAGAGCCAACTATTCTTCATAGCACGAAACCACAACATTCTTTTTAAAGAAATGCATAGATAAAAAATGAGCTTAAAAACTGGAATGAAGACAAAAAATGAGCAGGCCTTAATGTGAAAACGTGTTGGGAGAGGAAATTGGGCGTCTGACAATTAGTTGTAATCTCAGAATGCGAAAGGCCCTCCTGCAAGCAGGGGGAGCTGGAATTGGTCCCTGGTGGCCCGCTAGTGCTGTCTGGGTGTAATTACGGGATACGGCGCCTCCAGTGTCTGCCGAGCCATGCCCTCAACCACGAACATTCATTCGGTGCCAACTCTGGGCCTGGCACTGTGCTTGGATGCCGATGGTGGAAAGACACCTGTGTTTAAGAAGCTCACCGTTTGGAAGGAGAAATAAACAAGCAAATGAAGCTCACAATTCCGTTGCTAAATGGCAGGAGACAGATCTGAACCAAGCCTCCTGAATGCAGGAAGGACGGCGTCACTAACACCGCCTGGCATATCTAAAAAGACTTCACAAAACAAGAAGCGTACATGTAAGAAACCGGGGTGTAATTTGTTCTGCATAGTGCCACTTAAACATGCCAGCGCCCGTCTGGGGCTGTCTCCGATGCTCCCACCCACGTGCCCGCGGGGCTTGCTGGCATCAGAGTCAGCTGGCTGTAACTTCCAACCAGAAAGGAAGTCTAACACAGAGACGCACGCTTTGTGTAGGGAGGGAGGCCGTCCATTTCCTCGGAGGAGAAGTAACACCCCTCAGAACAGCCCTGTTCCGAGAACGCGTGTTGATGTACATATGGACGCCACATTAACACCATATGGCTGCAAAGAGCCCCAAACGTAAGGGCGTGAGAGCAGCCCGATGTGCTGCTTCCCTCACGGCTGGGCGCCTCACAGCCCACGTCAGCGCCCCCGGCGTGCGGGGCGTTCCTCACACATGCCAGCTTCAGGGAGCCCTGTGAGGCACAGGCGGCCTTCTTTTCCTAAGAATGAAATCTGCTCTCTACCCAAATGCCCAAAGAGGGGACACACTTTGTTTTCAACAGCGTCACCTCCCAGCTAAAAAGAAATCTGTCCAATGGGCTCCGCGACTGGGTGCCCAAGCAGAGTCCCCCTCCAAGGACCAGGGGCCACGGGGCTGCAGGGAAGGAAGCTTCTGACTCTGACCAAAGCAGGCATGCGTCAGACAAGGCACCCCAGGTCTGCTTCCATCGGGCCTCCACGGGAAGGAAGGGGGGCTCCTCCAGAAACACCCCAAATCCAGATGCGTCTCGGCCTGCGGAGGGCTCAAGACGGCTTTTGTTCTCTGCAGCCACGTTTGAAAGCTTATACATTCGAAGAGTGATATCAGCAACTCACTTTGAATAAAAAATACAATTTATGTGAACTAATTTGTTCTGCAAGTGATTTGTGGTGATAGCTTTTTGAAGGCTTGTTATATTTTCCAAATATTTTCACCACAAAAAAAAAAAGAACAATATTGCTGACAAGAATGGAGTGGTTGGAAACAAAACAAAATAAAAATCATGCAAAAATGCCTTTCGCATTATTTTTCATGGTATTATCAGTCTTTAGGGATCGGATATTTGGTTGTCAGTTGTAACCTTGGAAACTTGCCTAACCAACTCTCAAACAAAAAAGATGATCTAGTTGGCAAGGTCCACTGCTCGACTGCCAAACACCCCAGCCAAATGATATTATCCAGGTTCATTTTGCAAAATAAATTTAATTTCTTACAGAGAAACTTGGAATTTCTAAAAGAACCCTGGAGAATTTGAATTTTAATAATCAATTATTCTTCAGCCTGATTCATCTTATAAACATATGGGATATGCAAAATATTAAATTAGTTTAAAAAGCCAGACCTCTAACTCATAGTTGAGGAGAACTTTTACATAAACGAAGAATAATTGCCAAATGTTCTGATGCTGTAATACAATTTTTAGCTCCATGGTGTGTGTATAATGTTTCCACACTTTGAAAAAGAATTCCTTTCTGTAACGTCACTCTTTTCCAACCAAGAGAACAACTATCTTCTATATTTTATTGTGCTCATAATTAAGGTTTATGACTTTTTATACCCTTAGGTACAAGTTTCCCTAGATGCTGAAATAATCCTGGAGGTGTTTCCTTCTTAAACACAAACAGAAAGGACCACCTGCCCAGCGCTACCTGCGTGGGTTAGCGGAGGGCCGTGAGAACAGCAGCTACAGAAGACGAGATGGCCTTGGATGACCTACTTCTGAGCCACAAAGGACAAGGCCTGAGGACAAGCTCGGGGAGTCTTGGTCTCGGGGTGATACGTGAGAGCCAGCACTGGCTCCTCCATAACTAGTCTCTGAACAAGTCTCCAGAAGCAAGTAGAAAGTCCTTGATTACACAATCACTTCAAAATGGGTACAAGGGTCTTACAAACCCAAGGCTACCAGAAAATTAACTATGAAAAGCCCAAGGAATTTAGTATTTAGACTATTCCTTTCACGGATGTGAACACAAATACTGCAGCAGAGCATTTCCCAACCTGCTGCACACTCTCTGGCCACATCTGCCTCCTCAGGCTGCCTCTTCTTACCTGCTGACACCCCTACTTTAGTCTGTCCAAATCTACAAAACACACACGTCTATAAGATTTTCTTTTAGTTGTCCTAGCAGTGCCAAAGGTTGCCTCCCCCACCACCTGGGTTCCTTACTTTGGGAACCAAGGTCCACGATTCACCTCCACATCTCAGCATCGTGCCCAGCAGAATTCTCAACCAGCTGCCTCAACTCTGCCCAAACCGCTGCGCTTTCCCAAGCTCTGCTTTCTTAAAACAACTGGTGACATAAGGACAATCACTTTCAAAGCATGCTCAGATCTGAACTGTGAACTTGTGCCTGAGGCCAAATCACCAGCTACCTGGTCGTGTGGGCCAGCATCGAACTCAGGTGACACTGCGAGCCCTGCATATGCCCAGTTACGGGAGAGTCCACCAAGGCGTGGGGCTGTCGTCCCTGGACAGACTTACGTTCACGGCTTCTGCTTTATATTCGTTGTCGCTGTCTGGGCCAGAGAGCGCCAGCAGGATCGGACATACTTTGTTTTCAATGTCATGCTGGAAAATCAGATCTTGTTCCAGAAGAATCAAGAGTACTTCCTGACTTGATTTTCTAACCTAGAAGAGGAAAAAGGCAAAAGGTTAAACAGAACACACCGAAGTGCTCTCAGGGTCAAGGCCCAATTCCCTAGCAGAGGACCTCCCTTCCCTGTGGCGTGAGCCACATGGGGCTGCCGGCCCTTCAATCACACTTCCTTCCCGAGGCCTTACAATCCGCGTCCCGCTGCCCGGCGCCTACCATGCCTCTGCTCTCAGCCCAGCGACCCTGCCCCCTGGACCCCATCCAGGTCAGGCCCCATCTGTACCCTAACAGTGCTCGGCACTTTGCTTTCACAACTCGTGGCCCAGACCTACACACACACACACACACACACACACACACACTTTTTCTCTATGATTACACGTTGCTGCCTGTCTTTCCTGCTGCAGAGAGTGAACGTGGAGGGTGGGTGCCATGGCTGACTTGCCCTTTACCCTCCAGTACACCCTCCGGACCCAGAAGCCTGTTGAAACATGGAGAGCATTTCCCCTCCACAGGCAAAGGGACAGGAAAACACGGCACTGCCCTCCCACGGCCTTATAAAACCCCAGCACACCAGGCCCGGGGCATGAATTCTGCCTGCTGTGACAGGACGCCACAGGGCAGGGCCCAGGAAGAGCCCTACATGGCGGGACACAGAAAACAAGAACTCCGCCGTCTGCACGGAGTGAACAAGCATGAGAACTCACAAGGATCCTAGGATGCCGGAGAGAGAACATTCTGGGAGAAATGAAAGCATGGAAAATTCCAATTTATAGAGCCAGTCACAAGATACGCAGCTCATCGCAGTGATGGTAAGGCCGGAGAACAGCATGGGGACCAGAAGTGTGTAGAGCCCGTTCTAAAGGAGAGCTAGTCTGGGAGCCTGAAGCCACAGAGGCAACCCAACATTCAAGTTTCTGAGCAGGTGACAGGATGAAGCCATATTTTACAACAGAAAAAATTATTCCGGCACAGGGGTTCTGAGTAACCTGGAGGCGATCGATCAAAGACGGGGCGCAGAAAGGTCAGCAGGGAGCTACTGCAACAATCCTGGAGGGGCAGCGAGAGAGGAGAGGCAGTGTCACCAGGCACGGGGACAGGCCCGGGTGTCAGGCTGCAGGCCACGGAAGTCCCCAGTAACTCTGAAGTGTCAAACACGTATTGAGCATCTGGAGCAGGCCAGGAGCAGAGAACATGAGAGGACCACAGAGCAGATGAGCCAGGCCAGCCGGCCACCTCGTTACATGACGCATCCAGGTGATGCCTCAGGATGCCCGAGGGCAGCTGGCAGCACACTCCAGGCAGCGGGGTGAGGGGACCCCTGAGCGGACATGGAGCCAGATGGCAGAGGCAGTTAGAAGCCTGCTGAGGGTGAAGGGTGACCCCCCAAAGTTATGCCCATGTGAAATCCTTGGCAGCTCCGAATGGGACCTTTGAAAAGGTTCTTTGCAGATGTGATTAAGTCCAGGATTTCGAGATGCCCAGGATTACCGGTGTGGGCCCTAAATGCTACCCCAAGTGTCCTTACAGAGAAAGGCATGACAAGAAGACAGGAGAGGGCAGATGGCCATGTGAAGGCGGAGCCAGAGAATGGGCTGGCAGCCGCCAGAAGCTGCAAGAGGTGGGGAACGGATTCTCCCCTGGAGCCCCCAAAGCGAGCGCGACCCATATGACACCTTGACTTTGGACTTCTGGTCTCTAGAGAATACATTTCTATGGTTTTAAGCCACCCAGTGTGTGGTACCTTGTTCCAGCCACCCCCGACAAGCAAGGACAGAGGAGGGGACAGCGTGTTCTCTGGAGATGCATGAGATGGCCTGATGACAGCACTGAGGTGGCCTGGGCGGAGTGGCAGAGCGGGAGGCTAAGGGCCAGCTGAGATCAGAGTGGGAAAGGCTTCAGTATCCCACAAAGACCTCTGGTGATAATTCGGTGCCACGGGGAACCCCGAGGGTTGGCAGAGGAGTGACAAGGTCAGACTCAGCTTCAGTGAACATGACAGTTTAGAAACCTCAAGTAGTTGTGAAAACAGAGAGGCGGCGAGGGGCTCCCGAGCAGAGGTGCTTCCGGCTTGGACCCAGGCATAGATTCGGGGGGTAGGGGACAATCTGGCTCGGACCCAGGGATGGACTTGGGGGGTGGAGGACAATCTGGCTCGGACCCAGGCATGGATTTGGGGGGTGAGGGACAGAAAGGAGGGTGGGTTTGAGAGACACTGCCGAAGAGAGCTGAGCAGATCACTGAAGGTGATCACAGAAAATCAAAGATGCCTCTGGGGTCTTTGCCTCAGGCCACCAATAACTGGAGAAAACGGATGGAGAAGTAAGATGGAGGGTAAAGAGGAAGGTTTGAGGTGTATCTGTGAGCTGTGTGTGTGCAATGGATCTCTGAGAAGGGCCACCTGCGGGCTTGGAGACGGAGGTCAGGACTCACGCACCCGAGGGACGTGCAGGTGGGTCTCCCAGGCCCGTGGAAGGAGACGAGCCCACCAGGGCAATCCTGGCACTGGGAGAAAAAGACCGATGGCACCCTGAAGGGCGGGCGAGGACCAGGGCTGGGGACGGAGACTGAGGAAGACACAGGCAGGAGGAAGAGGCAGGGAGGACACTCGAGAGCCCAGCAGGTGACACGGCAGTGGTCTCAACGCTGTGGCCCAATCTGCGTCCTGCAGTTACTGGCTGGGTCATCCTGGGCCAAAAACTTAGCCCCTTGGAGCCTCAGTTTCCGCCTCTGTGAAACTGGACAGTAATGGTCCCACCTTGCAGGGCGGCTGTGGAACGAATGGCCTACAGAGGGGCTCAGACCGGGGCCCGGGGCTCAGGATGCCCGCTGGGGGCTGGCTGTGATCCTTCCAGAGGCCACAGTACTCAAGGCCGAGGAGGGAAGCGCTAGGACGATCCCAGGCCGGATGTGCCGCTGGAACGCTCCAGGGAGCAGGGACATGTCCTGGTCACCTGTCCATCCCACTGGCGGGTAGGGCTCCACGAAATGCCAGCTGGGCATCCAAGAAAGGGGTCTTCAAAACCCAAAAGTAGCTAAGAGTGACAAACAGTGCAAACAGATCAAGCCAAGGGAAGAAAGAAGTCACTGGATAGATAAATTGTGGGGAAGCTATAAAAGGAATACCATAAAACAGTTCAGATGAATGACCAACAGCTCTCGGGATTGGTGTGGATGGAGCAGGAAAACGAAGGCTGAAAAGCAAGCAACAGAACGGGAAGCACCATCTGACGCCATTTAAGTAAGACTTGAAAGCACCCAAACCAGATGCCGGCTTATGCAGAGCCACTGGCTCAAGCCTGTGACTATACAACCCTGGGCGGGTAGGGACACCCCAAGCTTGCTGCGAGGGGAGGAAAGGGAGGAAAAGGGGACGGAGCAGGGGCACGGAGCACTTTTAACCATATCTGTAACCTATAAACCAAAAGGTTGGAAATGAAATTGGAAAACGTTTACATTTGTTGAAGTGAGCGGTGGGTATATGGGTGTTTATTACACAACCCTCTCATGTGATTAAAATATTCATGACATTTTAGAAATGAAAACTATTTCTGAAGAAAAACCACAAAACACTGGATTTCACAATGAGACGAGTTGAGTCCATGGTGAGGTAGTTCTCAACTGGCTTTCAGCGCATTAGCGGCAGGGGTGAGCCGCCGCCAGAGTGGGAGCCCATTCAGGGGGAGAGCCTGCAGGGGCTCCTCTTCAGGAAGCCTGGCAGGAGGGCAAGGAGTGGTGTGCGCTCAGGGTCAAGGCCAGGGGATGGAACGATGAGGGGGACTTGGGCATAATTATCATCTGAAGAGATGAGCCAATGAGAGAGACTGGGGAAACCAGCAAGCTACGAGACAAGAAGATGGAACCAAAGAGGGAAATGAAAACATCCGACCTGAAAAGGGGGTGGGACATCCATTCCTGAGACACAAGGCGAGTAGCTGACGACAGCTGAAGTGCAGAGCATTTACAGTTGATTCCGTTCTACAAATCGTTACTAAAAATCTACCAGGTACCAGGCCCCATGCTCGGTCACAGAGATAAGTAAAATGGCTCTTGGCCGTCGATACAACTCTTCAGCAAACACAGGCAGAGTGTCAGGCACCACGCTAGAGCCACAGTTCAGCCCCTACCCTTCTGGAATCGAACACATGGTGATGATATATGACAAAGGTCAAGGAATATCAAATCCCCTGACCCAGTATAATCTCATTTTCAAGAACATATCCAAAGGAACAAGAAAAGCCCATAGAAGAATAAAACCGCATCCTTCACAATGCTCACTGCATCTATGGTACAAAAAAGCTGAAAGAAATCTACGCCTTCACCAAAATTAGAAATGTGAAGGTTATGAAGATGTAGTGTCTCTGACAAGTAGATGCACTTTCTGGGGTAGAAAATCTGTCCTACTCATCTCTTTATCCCCAGCACGAAGCACTGTGCTTGGCTCATAACGGGCGCTCAGAACCTGTCTGAATAAATGAATGAATGGAAGAAACTGCATCACATTATGATCAGACCAACGTGGGGAAAAATGTAAGCACCTAGAGCAGAAAACGCAAAAATAATCAAAATACTAATGTGAGGAGAGTGGGAACAGAATGACTTTTTCCTTATTTGAAAACTACATTTAATCCTGTCACATTGTTTAACACTCAGAGGTGAGTACTGGCTCTTTTAAAAATGCTTGCATCAAGGGAGAAATAGAAGCCTTAAAATTGCAGAATTTCTTAAAACTAACAATGATGAAAACTTGGCATATCATAAAAAATTACAAATATGTTTGGTCTTTGTGGAAATCCATCCCCAAATAAACTGACACAGGCAGAAATGATGCAGGGCTATTTGTTGCAATGGTTTTAAAGTGGCAAAAAAAATAGAGATAATCCACATGTCTGCTGATACACTAGGCTGCATGTGCCTGGTGGAGTATTACACTGCAGGAAAAAAGGACCGTGGAAGCTTTCCTTAGCTTGCTTGCTATGGACCGATCTCCAGGACACCCGAGACAGTGGGGAAAGCGAGGGACACGCCATCAGGCACAGTCGCCACCTTGCATCTGGGAAAGGAACGAGGACATACGTGTGTGTGCTCAGAGTTATCTGCACGTGTGTGTACTAGGCGCCCCTAAAAATCTCTAGGGGAGGGAGAGGCAAGATAGCAAGGGGATAGAAGTCAAGAGTTCTCTGAATGTACTATTTTACAGTTTGCCTGTGGAATCATGTAAAAGCATTTTGAATAATTATAAGTCTAAATGAAATCAAAATGCAAAAGCTAAAGTAATTTCTAAAAATTAAAAATAAATGAAAACAAATGAGCCTAACTGCATATCAAGTTGTCAGCTTATCCACAAAGACAAGGTTAATGCAAGTGGCTTTAAAACGCAGTAATGTGACTATGACTATGCATCTCTAGGGGGAGATAGCTTAAAAACAAAAAGAACTGCAAAGAAATCTTAAACTCTCTTCAGTAATTCTGCCATATTGTTAGTAATAATACTGGAATTTTTATTTTAGAGATACATACGCACGCGCGCGCGCGCACACACACACACACACACACACACACACGCGTGTTAATGCCACTAAGCAGCAACATTTGCACTAAGTAAAAATATACACATATAACCAACCTAAGTAAAAGCCCTATAATCCTAAATTTGAGTTGGAAATACCCATATACACTCATGAGGAATTTTTATTTTTTAAGAAAAGAAATTGCTCTGTCACTTGAAGCCATGCCTGATCTCGTAGCAATGAGCACCCCCAGGACCCACACTCCGATGTCCTGTGATCATTTCCTTCTCATAGGAGTCAGGGCTCCTTGGAGAAATGGCCAGCTCCAAGCAGGAGCCCACCCGAAGGGTTCCTACTGGACAGAGCTGGGATAATATGGTCATCAAGAAAGAATGATTTCCATGGATGAAAACATCTAACATGTTTAAAATTCACAAGTTCATACTAACATTCAAAATCAACACATTTTTGAAACCTAAATTGGTAATAACCTCTATGAATGATTAGGACGCCAACTAATTATTCTAGAAACTGATAAATAAAGGGAGTGACAAAAGCATTTATCCTACCTTCCCTAGACAAACAGATTTTCAGGGTTACTGTGAGCTGAGGGGGAAGTTAGGTCTTTATAGAAGATTCCCTGCTCTTAAATGAAGAAGAAATGACGGAATGAGAGCACCACAGTGTTGCAGCCTCTGATGAGGCAGTGACCGCCATGGTTGGTACTCAGTTGACGGGGAACTCCATAATGAACAGCAAGGCTGAACAAACCTGGATTCAATGACCACACTGCTTTTTGCTTCCTGATTGGATGCAGCAGGGAAACACGGTAGCACAGCACCTAGAACACCCTCTCACTGTACTGCCCAAAACAACTGAGTGCGACAGAGACGAAATTCACTACCGGTGTGTAGAAAATACTGCGAATGAGGGAACATCGCAGACATCACTATAGGGAGACACTCAGCCAGGTCCCCAATAGCACTAATGATCTCGTTTCCTCAACAAATAAATAGCAGGGGAAAAAAGGGAGGGAGAACTTCAGAAATTAAGAGATTTAAAGACCCGTCAGCCAAATGCAACGTGTGGACCTTGTGTGTATTCTGATTGGGAGAAACTATCTGGAAAAAAACAGATTTATGAGGAAACTGGGAAAATTGGAACAACGACTAGATATTAGATGATATTAAGGAACTACTGATAATTTTTACACTTGTGATAATGGGACTGTCATTATGTATTTGAAAGTGTCTAATTTCTGAGAGTGCAATACTAAAGGATTCGCCGCTGAAATGATGCGGTGTCTGCGAAATGCTTTTATCTAGGTTGGGTTTATCTCAGTAAAAGAAATGAAAAGAAGACTGGTCAAATGATAGTTGAAGCTGGGTGAACAGTACATGGATATTCATTTGAATATTCTCTCTACTGCTGTGTGTGAAAATTTCCATAATAAAAAGGTAAAAAAAAGAACTATCTCATGAGAATAGGCATGAGTCCTGTCTGTCTTCCTACGGGGCTGGCGGCACAGGGCACACATCGACCTTTGGTTCCTGAATTATCTTAATCTAAGCTGTTTCTGAATGACGAATATCAGGTAAAGAACACTCCAGAGAATTGGCTACGTAGGTGTTAAAGGTCAGTTTTCCACACCTGGTTGTTTGGATCTGTGAGGTACCGCACCACGATAGGGATGAGATATTCGGAGAGCACCGCTAGCGAGTTTGATCTGTTTTCCTGTAAAAAAATGGCGATAGGAGGAATCTGTTCCATCAGCTCGGTCCGCACTGTGGGCTCTGCAGCAATAAAAAGCAGGAAAAAAAAAAAAAGAATTATATAAGAATAAGCCAAGCATCTTATATAGCATGTACTGATAGTTTGTAGCTTTTCTTACTAAAATACTTCATCAAAAAAAAATTAGAAAAATGCGGTTTAAAAATCATTTCCCATTTAGAGTATTTATGCTACAGACAGGCTTAAAAGGCTAATAAGCTACACAGCAATCTAAAAACATAAAAAGAAGACAGAGTGACGACTCTATTATAACAAGCCATATATAAACTGAGGAGGGGGCAAGAAGTGTGCGTGCTGGGCCAGCGTCCAAAAGCCATTACAACTAATGGCAGACACGCCAGACCTATGGGTTGTGCTTATTTAAATTCCAGCCAGAATGTATACATTATAAGTAATTCTTTCATAAATGCACTCCCCCGCAATCCACGCATCCCAATTATTTCTAAGGCAAAGCATTAAACAAAAGAGCAGCTCTAGCGCCAATAGACCGCATTAAATTTAACACAAATATATAATTGCTTCAGCGCTGTAAATAGTGACTCATTTATAAAGAGAATCCATTTAAGGACTCAAAACATCCACTTGGGCCTTTTTAAAAGTGTTGTGTCATAGTCTTATGAATATTTTAAGCTAATAGGGGAGCTATACGGAAGACTTATTTTTCTATTTTCAGTTTAAAATTCTCAAACTCTAAAGCGAGCCTAAGGTCTCTGAAACTTTCTGGAGCTGTTCACCAGCCATTACCAATGTGGGGGGTGGAGGTTGGGGGGCAGAGCCACTGTGGGTACCGGCAACCCCACTACTCACTCATCTTACTCATCTCTATTTGGGGGCGGGGGGTGCCCTAGTGTCTACCGGGCAGCTGTGGGCTGTTCTTCCAGGAGAGCAATCAGGGGGAGGTAGGAAGAGAAAAGAAAAATCAAGACCAGTCTACGACTTTCACAGGTGAGGGAAACCAATGACTGGGATTGTTCTAGCCCAAAGGACTCCTTTTGTGTTGGTATTTCTTAGCAACCAGTAGTCTGGCAAAACTCATGAAATACAAAAGGCCTAACTGCCAGGGCAAAGGGCATTCACAGCCATTTGTCATTCTAATCTACAAATAAGGATAATCTGATGCCAAACAAGACACCCATTCTTCATGACAAAACTCATTTAAGGTTAGACGTTGCATAAAATGTATCGATGAATAATTTTTTATATTAGCTGTCATTGGTGATAGGCAATTTCTTGGAAACACACAAATACCAAGTAAAGGTGTATAACTCCTCGTACAAACCTGCATCTTCTGACAGTCTGACCACGATCGCCATGACCGTTAAGAAGTCTTCTTCATCATTACCGAAGTCCCGGAAGATGTCAAGTAGCCCTCTGGCGATGATCTGACTGTAGAGACAAGAAATGACCCACACAGTTACATGGGCAACACCGAGCGCCAGGGTGAGGGTTATAAGCAGGGAATATAGCCAGGGAGCAAAGGAAAGTCAGCGGCCTCCATCCAGAGGGGGGAGACAGTGTCCAGCAACGGCCAAAGACGACCGCTGCGCAATGGGGGTCAACATCCTATAGGCACGAACCGTGTCCTGCAGCCTGGAGGTCCCTGGAGGTCGACACTGTCTGCTCGTGATAAGGGAAAACCTTTTCCCCTTTTCTGACTGGCGGCCAGGCCTAGACAGACTTGGAGGAGAGGTCCGTGACAGTGGCAGGGAGTTAAGTGACCATGAATGCAGAAGGAAAGGCCCCAAAAGGCATCGATGGCCATCTCAATCTCAAATGGCCTCTACCCACTGGTGCCAGCATCCCCCTGGCTGCCCTCGCCCCGTGTAGTAACAACCAAATTGCCTCCAGATACTGCCAAGTGTGCCCTGGGGGCAAAATCACCCTGGCTGAGAGCCACATTAGCAGAAGCTGGGCAAAAGCTATAAGGGAACTGATTAACTCTACTATCTTTACAGCTCTTCTGTAAATCTAAAATTATTTCAAAATAAAGTTTAAAGACAAAACAAAACACAAAGTTTTTGGTTTTTGTGTTTTGAGTTTTTTAACCCACAATGAGGTAACACTAAACCCACTAGAAGAAAGATTATAAAAAGAGTACCTAGTGCTGGCAAAAATATAAAGCAACGGGAATGCAAACGGCACAGGTGATATGGAAAACAATTTGACAGTTTCTCAAGAAGTTAAATAAACACTTATCATTCAACCCAACAATTCCCTCTTGGGTATCTACCCAAATGACATGAAAATGTATGTCCACACAAAAACTTGTACACAAATGTTCATATCAGCATTATTCATAATACCCACAAAATGAAGAAAATCCCAGTGTTCGTCAACGGGGCAGTATGTATGCAAAACACAGGCTACCCACACAATGGCATTCGACTCAGCCATGAAAGAAAATGAACGCACTACCGGCAACAGTAAAAACAGTAAAAGCAGCCCAACAGAAAAGACCAAATACCACATGACTTCATTTATTTGAGATTCTAACAAAGGCAAAACTTTAGCATCAAAAAACAGATCAGTAGTTGCCTGGGCCAGCGGTGGTAAGGAAGGGAGGAACTGACAGCAAGGAGCAAACATGGAAACAAGGGGGTGACGGGAATTTCAAACTCGATGACGGTGATGGTTTGCGTGACTGTATACATTCACCCAAACTCACCTCATTGGACGCTGTAAGTGGGTCAATTTTATGCATGAAAAAATGTGCCTCAATAAAGTCGTTGTTTTTTTTTCCAATTACAGTTGACATTCAATATTATTTTATATTAGTTTCAGGCGTACAGCATAAATACATGCATTCCTATGTTCACTGCAGCATTATTTACAATAGCCAAGATATGGAGGGAGCCTGGGTGTCCATCAATAGATGAATAGATAAAGAGGTGGTCCATATATGCAATGGAGTATTACTCAGCCATAAAAAAGAATGAAATCTTACCAATTGCAATAACATGGACGGACCTAGAGGGACTGATGCTAAGTGAGGTAAGTCAGACAGGGAAACACAAACACCCTGTGATCTCACTTATGTGTGGAATCTAAAGAACAGAAAAAATGAACAAACAAAACAGAAACAGACTCACAGATACAGAGAACAAATTAATGGTTGCCAGATGGGAGGTGGCGGGCGCTGGGTGAAAAAATGTGAAGGGAGTAAGAACTACAATTGGTAGTTACGAAATAGTCACGGGGAGGTGAAGTATAGCATAAGGGAAGATAGTGAATACAATTGTAATAACTATGCATGGTGCCAGGTGGGCACTAGACAAAGTGGGGATCACTTCATAAGTTATATTAGATGTCTAACCACTATGCTGTACGTCGATAGCTATTTTAAACAAAGACAATGAGGAGGGGAAATTCAGTGCGATCAGCAGTGGCTTACAGTGCCTGCAGGCCTCATGCGAGAACAGTTTCCTCCGGGCCCCTGCCTGCGTCTGTCTGCTCCCTGAGTGCCTGACCATCCAGGAACAATACGCGTCATTTCTGGCCATGCACCTGGAGAATTAGCGGAAGCCAAAACCCCAACTTGATTTCCAGGAAAAGAAGACTAGAAATGTGAGATTCAAAGGCGCAGTCTTTTGGCCCAGAATACTACAGGAAGAAATCCATCAGCTGCAGCCCATCCATGGAGAGGCAGGCTTACCACCCTGGATGAAGGGTCGCGATCTGGCAGCCAGGAGGTTTGGGCAAGTCGAAACAGACTCCATCAAGTCCCTGATGACGTTTCACTGGACCACATTCATGTAGCCTCCCCTGGGAAATCAAGCAGCTAAGATCCCCAATCTGCTTGTGGGGCCACAGAACAGACAGACAGATCTGCATCCAGCCCCTAGTGGTCACAAAGGACCTGCCCTCCTAGGGAACGCGAGGAAATGAGAAAGAGAGGGCCCGGAAGCAGGGGCCGATCCACCGCAGTGAACACAGACGGGAGAGGGCCGAAGCCTCGGGTCGGTGCGTTGGCACCAACACTCTGGAAAACCTGGTTCTTTATGCTGGAGTGACCTGGAGAGGTCGGAGTGGATGAGCATCAGCCTCAATCCTTCCCAGGTCGGCTATGCTAACAAGATGAACAAAAAGAGGATGAGTGCGCGAGCCTCGGAAAAGGGTTACGAAGAGTAAACGCGATCACGATGGGAAGCTCCTAACACAGTACTTGGCGTGTCAGCCTTTATATGTATTACTCCGTAAGCCAAGAAGTACTATCAAAACGTCTATCAGAAGAGGGAGGCTTAAATGAATCATGATCGATCTATACACCAGAATACTATCCAACCATTTCCAAAGGTACCTGTAGATATGCGCTGAGTTAGAAAGATGCCCACGATATATTACATGAAAAAACAAGGTGAAGAATTTTACATTTAGTATGAGCCCATTTCTTAACACAAATTATGTTTATGTATATATGTGTGATACATGTACACATAAACACACTTACATGCACACACTCATTTAGGGGTCAAGTCTAGAAGGATATGCACCGAATTGTTCATAGTTACTACGTAAGAGTGTAGTGGGTGGGGGACTCTTACTATTCAACACCTAAACTTGCTACATGTTTCAACAAGCAGGTATTATTTTTGTGGATTTTCTAAAATATTAAGACAGAGGATGGTTCAGCTTTGCACGGCAATGTTCCCTGGAAATGTAACTATGGAAGTCACCCTTCCCGTCTTTGTCCCTTCTTTCCCTCACCCAAACATGCAGTTACGATCACGAGTTTAGCCCAACTAGCTCCAGACTCAGGGCAAGAAGCTGTGGGTACAGAGATGCGTAAGTACCAGGCCCTGCCCTGAAGGAACGCACAGTCCAGGTCCGTAAACAGGCCAGGAAGTCGATGATGACGAGCGGGGACTAGACTCTTCAGACAGAGAAGACGACCATGGAGGAGCGCGCCGGGAGATGAGTGTGAGAATGAGCCGGGCCAGGCAGGGACGGGGAGGGGAGGACATCGGGCCCAGGTGTCAGACCGATCAGACAAGGACTTTAAAATGAGTTCAGTTAATAGGCTGAAGGCCTATTGGAGGAGTTGGACCTGCCGGGTCAGTTAAGGAATATGCGAGCTCTGTACTTTTTGCCCAATTTTTCTGTGACCCTAAAATTGTTCACAAAAATACAGTCTTACTTAGAAGAAAAAAAATGAACAAACAAAAGCTGTGAGCATTCACTGACAGCAGCCTTGTGCTAACAAGAATTGTTAGAGAAAGTTCTTGAGGCGAAAGAATACCTGACGGAAATGGGCATTTTTTTAAAGAGAAATGAAAAGCACGGAAAGGGTCAAAATAATGGCAAAAAACATGTTTTTCATTTTAATTGCTTTAAAAGATAGTTGACTATCTAAAGCAAAAGTAGGAACAAGGTATTGTAGGGTCTGTAACATGTGTACAAGTAAAACGTAGGAAAACCCTAGCAGAAAAGATGGAGGGCAGGAAACGAGTCCATAGCTCTGAGGTTCCCCTCCTGCATCTCGCAGTGTCTGCAAGGGCTATAATTTTATTTGAACATACACTGTGATCAGTTAAAGACGTATATTATAAACCCTAGAACAACCAGTGATAATTTATAAAAGAGGGATAAGCCAATAGCGGAGATAAACTGGAATTATTTTTTTTAATTAGTTTTTTTTAAAAAGGCAGGAAAAGAAGAAAATAGCAAGAAGAGTTGAGGCAAATAGAAAACAAATAGCAACATGGTAGATTTAAACCAAAGCATATCAGGAGTAACATCAAATGTAAATGATATAAACATTCAAATTAAAAGGAAGAGATTGTTCAATTAGATTTAAAAAAAAGTAAGACCCAACTATATGCCTTCTATAATAACCACATTTGAAACATAAGACACAGATAGATTAAAAAAATAAATGGACAGAAATATACCATACAAACACGAAAGAACGCTGGAGTGTGTATATTACTATCAGACACAGTAGGCATCAGAAAAAGGAGTATGACTAGGGATAAAGAAGGACATTACACAGTCAGTGATAAAGAGATCAATTTATTCAAGAAAACAGAACAATACTAAATGTGTATGCACCCAAGAACAGAGCTTCAAAATACACAAAATAAAAACTATTAGAACTGAATCATAGTTGCAGATGCCAACATTCTTCTCAGTTAATTGACAAAAGATAAATAAGAACACAGAAGACCTGAACAATGTTTTCAACCAACTTGTCCTAACAGACATTTATAAAACACTCTACCCCAAGACATTGGGATTCACATTCATTTCAAGTGCACATGGAACATTCACCAAGTTACAGCAGATTCTGAGCCATAAAACAAATTTTTAAAAAAGAAATAATACCAAGTAGATTCTCTGACACAAAAAAAAGACTTAAACTAAGAATCAAGTAACAGAAAGATACTTGAAAAATCCTCAAATATTTGGAAATTAAACAACACAATTCTAAATAACTCATTGGTCAAAGGAAAAATTATGGATATTAAATATACTTTATACTGAAAGGTAATGAAAATATGACACATCAGAACCTGAGGATGCAGTTAACATACTACTTAAGTACTTAATAGTACTTAATACCAATCTTACAATGTAAAATGCAGACATTATAAAGGAGAGACTAAAAAAATAGAGTTAAGTATCTTTCACAAGTAAGAAAAAGAATAGCAATTAAATTCCCCAGAAAAAATCTCCAAGGAAGAAAATAATGCACATTAGAGCAGAAATTACTGAACTAGAAAATAAACACACAGTAGAGAATATCAAAGCCAAAACTTGATTCTTTGAAATAACTAATAAAATTTTCGAAAGAACAATCTAGGGGAAAAAAAAGAGAACAGGATGGAAAATGGGGTGATAATACAGATTTCACAGACAATAAAAAGAAAATTACCATTTTCCAATGAAATAACAGATGTAAGCACTGATTATTTGTGACCACTAAAATCATTAGAAGAAAGACTGGTAAGGAATTTTATAATGAAAGCATTTAACACCTGTGCCCACCGCTCAATATTAACGTCTCTAAAAGTGGGACAACCAGATAGTTTCCTGGTGTTTTGTAATAAGAAGTACACAAAACAACATATGAAGTATTGTTTAAAAAAAATTTTGAAGCAGAATCTAAACAAATCTCCAAGTGTAATTTTCAGTTTACAGAAAATACAGAAAACAAAGGGGCATGTTAAATTGACACCATGAGAATAATGACCACCGAATCCAGAATGTGGAAAATTCTACAAGACTAATGACCCCTTTAACAAATACATGATGTAGGGGGAAGAGGAGAGAGAAAGTCAATTAGAGATTTAAGATCAAAAGGAAACAAACTATAAAGAAGAAAACACTTACGAGACACATCTATCTAATGGAACGTGTGGACCTTATTTGGATCATGACTCAAACAAATCAACCATAAGAAGGTATTTTTGAGACAGTCAGGGAAAACTGAACATAGATTGGTAAACGGGAAGGCATTATTGCTAATTTTGTGTGATAATGATACTGCAGTTAGATTTAAGTCTTTAATTGATAAAATGACATGTCTCTGATTTCTTTTATAATACACCAGCATCAAAGCACAAAACTTCTACAGACAAAATGATCACATTTTATTGGGCATTAAAGAAAACCTAAATAAATGGAGAGATACACCATGTTTAGGGATTAGAAATCTAAATATTGTAAAGAGGGTCATTCTCTCCAAATTGACCTCTAGGTTCAATGCAAACCCAATCGAAATCCTAATAGGTATTTTGTCTTATCTTGTTTTATTAGAATCTGATGAGCTGATTTTGAAATTTATATGAAAATGCAAAGGACCAAGAATAACAAGTCATGTCAGAGAAAAAACACAAGGTGGGAAGTCTTGCTCGATCCAATATCAAGGCTTTATTACAAATCTAAAGTAATCCAAACAGTGTGGCGTGGGCTGAGAGGGAGGCTGACAACTGGAGGAGGAGATGGTCCAGACAGAGGCTGCCACCGACAGATACTGACTATCCCAGAGGGAGCACCCCAGAGCACTGGGGAAAGAGTGTATGTTTGATAAGTGGTATCGTGACAATTAGAAAAATGAAGCTGCACCTCTCTTGCATACAATGAACCAAAATTAAAATCAGACAGCTTATAGGCCTAAAGGTGAGAGAAAAATGAAAACTAAAGCCTTTAAGGTTATATAAAAGAATAGTGTTTATGATCTTGGGGTAGAGGAAGACATTTTTTAAAACCTTCAAAATACACTAAGGATAAAGGAAAATGCTGATCAATTTAACCACATTAAGAATAGCTTCTAGTCCCCAAAAGAACACCATGAGGAGAGCTAAAACACAAGCCACAGAATGAAGGAAGATGTTTACCAAACATAACTGGTTACCATCCGAGCTCACCTGGTGGGGAGGACTCGGGGAGGGCAGGCTTCCGGGATGCCTTAGTCAGGGCTACCTGGGCATTTGCTTCCTGAACATTCCTTAGACTTTACATATATGTTTTATCCAGTTATCTGTATGTGTTATAGATCACAATTAAAGAAGTTTTATAGAAAGTTAAAAGAGAGATCTTAAAAAAAAAACACCATCTGGTAATCTCAATAGATGTAAAAGAGGCATTATATAAAATTCAGACCTCATTGAAGATTTTTAAGAACTCTCGCAAGGTTATCCTATGAAATAATTGATCTGTATTCTACAAAAATGTCAACAATATCATGAAAGGCAAAGAAAGGTTGAGAAACTGTTACATATTAAAGGAGACCAAAGAAACGCATTCTGGATCTAAAACCAAACAAACAAAAACCTAATATAAAGGACACTATTGGAAAAATTGGGACAATTGGAAAAATTTGATTAAAATCTATATATTAGATAACAGTATTGTAGCAAAGAGAAATTTCCTGAATTTTATAATTGTACTGTGATTATACAGTGAATGGTGAATGTCTTTGTTCTTAGAAAAATGCACACTGAGGTATTTTAGAGGAAAGGTAACATGATGTCTACAACTCACTCTCAAATGGTTTGGGGGAAAAAATGTACAAATACAGTAAAGATAGAATGATAAATCAAATGTGGCAAAATATTAACAACTGAATCTGAGTAAAAGATATACAAGAATTTGTTCTATTCTTGAAAGTTTTCTGTGTGAAATTATTTCAAAGTTTAAAAACAATCTCTTAACTAATAAAAAATATAAACCAGAAATATAAATTTTCTTAAGCTGGTAAGAGGTAGCTACTAAAAATAAAAAACAAGATAGAAAAGGAAGAAATAAAACTATCATTTTTTCAGATACTATTGTAAGTACATAGAAAACACAAAGAATCCACAGGAAAGTAATTAAAATTAACAAGTAAACTTAGCTAAACAATGGAGACAACCATCGAACTATAAAAATCAATTTCATTTTCATATATCAGCAACAATTAGAATATAAATTTCAAGAAATGATACGATTTACATTAGCATAAAAGATCAAATACCTAGAACTAAACCTAACAAGATACAGATCTCCACAACAGAAAACTATGTATTAATAGTATAGTTTTACAGTGATTGATGTGTGTATTATACATATACACACAGAGAGAGAAAAATTGAAGAGAATCTTTTAAAATGTAAAGATTAGAAAACTAAATATCATAACTATGTCAATTCTTTAGAAATTGATTGATAGATGCAATGCAATTCCAATCAAAATCCCAACCGGTTTTTCTCTGGCAAGTGATGAACTGGTGCTAAGAGGCATCTAGAAAAGGCCCAAGAGCAGCCGGGACCATCCTGACAAAGAACAAAGTGGGAGGCTTACTCTGCCTGATGCCAGGACTCTGATGATCAAGTTGCAGTGATGAAGACAGTGTGGTTGGGGGACAATGACAGATCAACAGACCAACAGAACTGACTCGAAGGCCCACAAATGGACACTTGATTTAAGACGGAGGGACAATGCAGAGCACAGATAAAAGAGCATTTTCAATAAATGGCACTGGGTCCATTGCATGCCATGTGGAAGGAAGTGAAACCTGACCCCTACCTCACATCACACACCAACAGAAAGAGCAATTCCAAATGTGAAAGGTCAAACAAATAAAACTTCAAGGAGACAATATAGGGAAATATCTTAGTGGCCTTGGGGGAGGCAAACGTTTCTTATACACGACATGCAAAGCACTAACCATAGAAGAAAAATCTGATAGATCGTGAACTACATTTAAATTAAGGATTGCTCATCAAAAGACACCGCTGTTCAGAGTGCCATCATTTTCCCTGTCTGTAAAATTGGGATAATAACTGGACTCACTCAGTAGCAATTACTGTGAGCCTGCTATGATTTAATAAATGCAAAGGCATAGAATAATATTTTTTTAAGACTAAATGGAAGGTAAGAAAAGAGACCCAGCGAGTATCACCCAGTCTTTACAGAAGGACGGTGTACGTGGGAGGATATGATGGACGGCCGCAGGTGGAGAAGTCCAGAGGACACGAGATATGCAGGGGTCTGTGAGTGGAAGGAAAGGGCGTGAGCAGCGGGCGAGAAGGAAGATACAGAAGATAGACGGCACAGCTGATGGAGGGATGGAGACAAGAAGACTGCATGGACAGGAAGACACTTCCCCCTCTGAGGCAGGAGCGAAGGACGCTTTCAGGTCCAAGTTTGTGCCCATCGTAAATGGAAAGAGGTGCCTCAGTTTCTGCTTTTTTCATGAACCAAGAGTCCAGGTCATCTGCTGAAAGTCAGAGGTGTAATCAGAGCCTGGAGTAGGTTCCTGCCAGCACCACAGGGCGTGACAACAGAACATGGCAGGAAGCTGCATGAGCGTCCCGGGGGCACAGTGAAGTCAAGGAACAGACGAGCAAGCGGTGCTAACAGAGGCTTCGCGATTCCACCGTGCACTTTACCTTCTGAGCGCCGCACACGTGGGAGAACCCAGGTAGCAATCCTAATTACTGAAACACCATTAAATTTCCTCACCATTTCCTTCCTGGCTTACCAGGTGGTCAGTGAAACTGCAGCAAGAATAATGGGAAAGCTACAATAATGATGCCATTCAAACAGAATCCCAGCATCCCGGAGACAGTCTACATTCACCCCATCCATGAGTCCCCTCAAAGCTGTCACAGAGACGTGGCCACCAGTGTCAGCGTAAAGCAGACGCAGCAGAGGTCTGTAAGGTGCAAAGGGCACGCTGAGCTTACCGGTTGAAGACGTTGTCGCTGAAAGCATACTTTTCCAGGCGAGCGAGCGGGGGCAGGTTATCGTGGCCTGGGATGTCCAAGAAGGTTGTCACCCTCATGCTGTCACAATCTGGACCATAGTCTTCAAATCCATCTGCAGGGGGAGAGGGGGAAAACACACTCGTAAGTGTGCATCAGCTGTGACACGTCACACTTGGGCAGACACATGGCTTGAGCACGCTTTCCGCTGTCACAGCCCTCACCAGCCAAAGCCTCTGTGTCCTGCAAGTCACCTAAACGAAGTGAGCAGGTCTATAACCCAGGAGAAGGGTGAGAAGACCGAAGTCCCACAGCAAAGCTGCAAGCCCTTCTTTTAGTGCTGTTGGTCTGATGAGGCGCCAGCCACCTCTAGTCAATATGGATGGGGGCATCTCCCGTATCGGGGAGCAAGTGGACAGAGAAGCTCACCCTGATGAAAATGGCCATGGAATTCTATGCAAACAGGTTTAAAAGGGTCCCCCAAAAAAGAAAGAAATAGGAGCCCATAAGCAAGAATCTGACAGAAAGTCTGCCTCATCGCTTGTCATAAATGTCCTTGTCACGCAGCTCCATCCACTCAGTGACACGGATCCCGTGAACCCACACTCCCAGTAACACACAAGCAGACCCTCCACAGGAATGCCTAACAGGTTCCTCTAACTCACGCCGTCCCAAAGGGGAGCCCCCGGTCACACCAGCTCCGCCGCCTAAGCCTGCTCTAAGGGCAGGCATCTCCCTGCCTCTCGTGCAGTGGGTGGCTGAGCCCACGGGCTCTGGGATGGAATGAATTCCCCAACAACTGCCTACCAGCTGCGTGACCAGAGCAGGAGACTCAACCTGTCTAAGCTTCCATGTTCTCATTGTAGGGCGGACATAAAACCCCACCCTCGCCCGTCGGGATGCTGGAAAAAGTCAGCTAATGCATGTCGACACCGGGGATCTGGCCCCCCGTGGTCTGGCCAACCTTGACCCTGGCCCCCAGCCCTCATGCTCCCACGCTGCAGGGGTGCAAATGCTTTCCCACGATCCCTCCCACTGAAATTGCTGGGCGAGAAGCACTGCTGGTGTGAGAAAGCAGCGGCTTGTTACCTGGTGGACAGGGAAACCACGGCTACTCAGGCAACGTGATTGGTAAGAGTCTAAAATAAGGGATGACAACTTGGTGCCTCGCTGCTGACTTTTCTTTGAAACACTAACCACATTTTTTCTCAACTAATTCTTTTAGGCTAGTAATTAGAGCCCATTAAAAATTTACACTGTATAACAGTTACTCAGAGAATTTTAATAAAGAATTATACATTTGTAAAGGAAATGTGTGACAGTCATGTGTCGTTTCTCTGTAGGGTCCCTGCCCAGGACGGCTGAGTCCACACTGGGCCACAGCCAAGCCCCAACCAGAGTCACTACGTGTGAGCTTCAGGTATGCTTCAGGGCTGGGGGAGCCTGCATCTTCCACCCCACATGTTCACAGAGCATGCACGCCCAGCCTGGATGGACTTTAAAACATTAAGTGTAAAGCAGTGGTTCCTAAACCTGAGGGTTACATAGACTTGGAACCTGATGGCGTCCACAGACATATATGCTCAAGACTTCTCATACAGCGCCGGGGTTTCAGAAGAGCCCCTGAGGCCCACCTGTGTACTCTGGGTGAAGAACTGCTGTTTTAAAGGAACACAAAATACCCAGGCACTCTTCACAAACTCTGCTTATCAGAGAACTACAGAGCTTTAAATCAAGCCTCAGTGGGGTCCACCCCAATCCAAGAAAGTTATCTACACATCGTAACAAACTCCAATATTATTGGATTTATATCATTTGTACAGTAAAATCGAACCACCCAAAATTCTTAATGCCTGGCATCTAATCAAATATTACCAAGCATGAAAAGAGGCCAACTGACTATAATCAGGAAAAATAAATAGAAAAAATCTGAAAAATGTCAGAGATGATGGAATTAATAGAAAAATGATCTTTAGATAGCAATTCAAAGAATGCCCTGTATATTCCAGAAAGATGTGATCATGTTGAGGACAGATACAGAAATATAAAAAAGCACCTGAATGGGCTGAAAAAGCACTGTCAAGTTTTTATCCCAGACTGTCCAGTGGGAAGCTACTGACCTATCAACCTGGATGTATCTTAGCCTTCTAGGCAAATATTCATCTCATTATAACAAATAATAAACTAACATTCTGAATTCTATTCTAACATCAGTCCCCTATCCTGCCCCCATTATTACTACCTTAACCTACCCCCATTATTACTACCCTAACCCATCCCCATTATTACTACCCTATCCCGCCCCCATTATTACTACCTTAACCAACCCCCATTATTACTACCCTATCTCACCCCCATTATTACTACCCTAACCCAGTACAGATTACCAGAGGAGCATGTGCTTTGGACCACTGTCTCTAAAGCCCTGTTACTGGGATCTGCGACAACTTAGGTGGAGCTGAAGAGAAAGGCACTCCCTCCCACCGAAACAAGACAAAATGAAACAAAACAAAAACCCAGAGAAATTTAGATAAAATATTTTAAAATATAGGAAAGCAGGAAGGACATCCCTGGTGACAATAAGAAGGCTAGAAATCAAAGTGAGAGCAGTTAGCAGAAGTTGCCACCCTTCTGGTCAACATTGAAGACTTAGATACATGTCACAGGCACTAGACTGCTAACGCCCCTGGTGATCAAAGCTACGGGCAGTGATTTGAAACCAAGCCCCCAGCATGAGACAGTTGTGGGAAGAGGACTGCAGTCACGGTGGGAGCAGGAGGGGGGAGGCACTCTCGGAAAATCAAAACCACAGGCCTGCTTGACCTACGACTGCAGAGTCCAGGTTCACACCACCGGCGAAGTGCGGGAGCCTCACACTGGGCTACTGAGAGGACCACTGCCCAGGCTTAGTCCGATTCCGGGCATCCCAGCAGAGGCAAACGGGAAGCTGTCCTACAGGGACTCTCACGAGCCAATAAGCATGGAACTTCATAAAACAATCCCTGCTGAACATAAATAGGCAATAACGATTTTCAAACTGCACACAGCTGCACATCACCAAGAGGAGGCGTTAGCAGACACAGCAAATGAGGATTTGCATCCCAAGACTAGAAATATCAGAAAAACCTGAAGTGGACTATCAAATAATTATGCATAGAATGAGTAGGATTTAAAAACTAGATATCGTAATGGAAAAAGAGGCATGTGAGGGGTGGGAGGTGCAGGCACAGTTGAGAAAGAACCAAGTACAAATGAAAAATAGAGACAATTTAGTTTGAAATTCAGTCGCTAGCTTAAATAGCAGTGTAGACACAGCTCAAGAGAGAGTTGGTGAGCTGGAAGATTGACCTGACAAAAATCACCCAAAACACTGCACAGAGAAACACAGCGTGGGAAAACAAGGCACAGCAATTAAGGTGCATGAAGAATGGAATGCTAAGTCTAAGATAAATCCACTAGGAATTCTAGAAGGAGGGATTAGCAAAAATAGGAAGAGGCAATATTCAAAGAAATAATGGCTAACAATTTGGAAAATTGTTATTCCAGAAAGGAAAAATGAATATTCAACTTGAAGAATTATAAATCCTGAACTGAATGATTAATAACAAATTCATACTTACATTGTAGAACACCAATGGCCAAAAAAAAGAAAAAAAAGAAAAAGAAAAAAGAAAAAAGCACCTAAAGAAAACAGAAAAACTAAAGATTAAATCCCAGATCTCTCACTTAAAAGATGTTAGAGGCATAACATACAATCGGTAGGAGTGTGGGGCCTTGAGTCAAAAATACCTGTTCTACTCCTTATAAGGTCACCTGTCTGATTCTGTGTTCTCACCCAAAAATGGATGCCTACCTCAGATGACTGTTGTAGTGTAGATTAAATGACATTAGATAGCTAGATAGTCACACAGAGTAATATAGCATCTGACACACATGAGCACTTTGCAAATATCAGCTGCCGGTATTATTATTAAATCACTGGGCAGAGTATATTACTGATACTGTTTATGTTTCTATTCCCAGTGTTCAGGGCGACCACAGCCAAGAGAAAGTGTGCGTGTCTGGTGAAGAGGGTGGGGGTTCTCTGAAAAAGAAAAACTTTAGAGAGGGGATACCTGTATATTAAACTTGGCCCAAACTCTGGCTTCACCCCTAAACCATGCATTTGTGTGGCAAATATCACAGCATAGCTATAGCTAAGAGAGCTGGACTGAGACTTGGGTACTATGCACTACAGGGGAGGCGAAGTGACAGTTTAACCTCAGTCAACTTTAAGTGCCTACTAAAACAAAACAAAACAAAACAAAACAAAGCAAAACAAAACAAAGAAACTAACGCTCTTTGAAGGCATAGAGCAGAATCCAGAAACTTTACAACACATAATATTCACAATACCCAGGTCACAATCCAAAATTACTCAATAAACAAAGAAACAGGAAAACGTGAACTAGCTAAACTAGGGGGAAAAAAAATCAAAACAGATTGACTCTAAAAGGACACAAATGTTGTAACTACAGACAAGGATTTTAAGACAACTATTAAAAAATGCTTATGGATGTAAAGGAAAATATGCCTAAAATGAATAATAAGAAAAGGAATCTCAGCAAGGAAATGTTAACTATAAAAAGGCACCAAATAAAAATTCTAAAACTGAAACAATAGCTGAAATTCAAAAATTCATTGCACGGACTTAACAGAACGAAGATGATAAAATAATGGCCAAAAATTCCCCAAATCTGGTGAAAGAAATAAGTGTACAGGGTCAAGGATCTTAGCAAACCCCAAGAAGATAAATACACAGAAAGCCACACCTAGATACATCATAGTCAAACTGCTGATTACCAAAGATAATACTCTCGAAAGCAGCAGAGAAAAACAACCGTTACATACAGGGAGTAATGATTCACATGATCTCTGACTCCTCACAGGAACAACGGAGGCAAAAGGCCTTGGAACTACATCTTTAACAGGCCGAAAGAAATAACTGCCAATCCACATCTTGATATCTAGTGAAATATCCTTCAGGAATGAGGATAAAATAAAGACATTATCAGATTAAGAGAAAAAACTAATAATTTATTTCTAGCACCCCCTTTCAAATATAGCCAGCCAATG